AAAACTTGTGTGCTTTTATCATGCATGATTGGTACAGTGACAAAACATATGCATACAGTCGTCTCTCGTTATAACAAGGTCGATGGGACTAGCCAAATTACCTCTTTATAACAGAAATGTTGTTATAAAAGGACAGCATAACAAAGAAACACAAAGAGAACCTGAGATTTGGGACCTCAGAATTTGCTCTTTATAAGCAGTTCAACCTCTTTATAAAAGTGCTCTTTATAATGAGAGTCAACTATTTATTTATTATAATGAGTTTGCTATTTATTAAACCTACACATGATCTTTGCAAAATGGCTTGTGAATGCAAACAAGTCCACCACTAGATGTACGTTGTACCGGTATAACGATCACTTTAATAGCCTCTGTTGGATGCAAGACACTTTTTTCATTACATACCACAGACAAGTGGTATTTTTCAAGTACCATGAAGCACTGTGTATTGCAATTGTTAAGTGTCTAAACCATAAAGGGCACTCCAGAAATCACAACAGTTGTTTTCATTTCACTTCCACTTCTTCAACTAATATGTGTTTCCTCCTTTTTCAGTGCTCTAAGACTGGTTGGAAAAATGTACATACAGAAGAATGTGAAAGTACAACTCATTTGTTAGAATTGTGACAATTGTCACAATGAAACTTTTCTCAGTGACATGATATTGTACTGGAGCCTGTAGTTCAGCTTTTACTATCAGGAATGCTAGTGCCAATTATAACAGGTCTCATAACTGAACAAGTTCTAATGCTTTCATTTCATGTATTTATGCATTTAATATTTTTGTGCAAATTATTTTAATTTCAAAAGGTCTGATTTCAGAAAGCATGAACAGACCTTACACCAGAAATTTAAAATGGCCTTGACACTGAGAATTAACCCTCTCAGATCCTTCCAAATTTTTTTTAAAATGGGGATGTAGGTAGGAAAGGTACACAATTGTGCTGAGGAAGGTACACACATTTTCTGAAAATCCCTTAATTCAAAATTATGTTCAATTCTGCATGAGTTTGTATGAGTTTGTATCTGACTGATACATTTGTATATTGCCGACCTTTTTCTTTATTTTTCAATCAGACAATGTGCTGTGTGGTTGAAAAAGCGGAACATTAATTACAAAAAGTTATGTTCCATTAATAAGCAAAAACTTTGCATATTTACAGGTTTCTACGTACTAGCTTCACAAATTGGGTGCTGTTAAAATCAGAAGAGGGCAAAATCTACCATCCACCCCTTCTCCCACAGAAGATGATCAAAACACCCAGCTAGCTCTTTTAGGGTTCAATCCCAATAGTATCAAGCCAAACTGTGCATTTCCCCCACCAAAATCCCTCACTAGTCATGTTTAGAAATTAGTCATGCAGTTAACTGGATACACGTACACGTGCACTGTACTCAGTTGATCACGCTCCTTTCACTTGTGAATATTAACACATAAACACTAGATGGGATAGGGAAACACACAATGCGACGTAATCAATACATTTTGTTCATGTAGGGTGGGAAACGTATTGATCGGCATGTCTGCATTTGTCACGACGACGTCCCGATGTGGCGGGGGGGGGGGGGGTGTTTGGCCGAGAAACCCAAACAAAGGCCAATTAAGAAAACGTGATGTAAACTTTTGTCAAGAAAATATGTTGTTGTTCTGTACTGGGTATAAGTACAATGTTTGTACCACAGTCAGGTTTTGAAATTATGGTTACTGTTTTGAACGATCAGGCCCCCCCCCCCCCCAAAAAATTCTGCTTCCTATTACATGACATTCAAAAATAGGGTAGGTAAAATGTACAATGTATCGGTAGGTAGGGATCAGTTTTTTTTGGGGGGGGGGCAATTTTTGTTGCTTGATCACATGGAGGTGTCTGCGTGAACATAGTCAAGGGTAAAAGGTAGAAATTGATCATTTTGGGTGATTTTTCTTCATTTTTCCCATAAAAAATATTAGGGTAGGTAGGGAAACCAGAAGCAGAACAATTTGTTGGCCTCATTACAAGGACGCTTTCATACCTTTGTACGACTTCAACCAAATATTAAAAATGTCACAACATTTTAGAAAATCAAACTTTAAAAAAAAAGTAGGAATTTATTCTCAAACAAAAACTTAACAGGCAAATGAACTGCATTAAAAGCTACAAATATCATAAATTTAGAGCACAATTCAGCCAATCCAACAAAATATTTCTTTAAAAATGGTCTGCCGTCTGCCATCTTTCCAAGAAAAAAATGACCTTCAAAATTGTTTCTCAAGGACCCCAAAATAATTTATAACTTGTTAAGAATACCTCACTGGGTCTGGCTCCATGATTTATCATTATGTCTGGGTGATCAGAGTCAAGCACATCAAGCCTATTACAAATCAGACTTTTTTCAGCTCGTAATCTCACCTACAGTGTGAAACAGATGAACTCAAGTGTTTATAAAAATGTAAATATTATCGGGAAAGATTGATTGCGGGTCGGGGCCAGGGTGACAGTAGTTCATCTGGAATGTGTGCCAGAGGGTCCCCCATGAATTTACAGAAATTACTGAAATGTATTTATCTGATTGTACCAAACCTAAGTCCAAATCCGACGGAAAAAATGGGGACAGTGGCTGTTACGCTCAGAGTTTATTACTGAACTTACGGAGAAATGCATCAATAGAATATTTATTCTTCTATTTCAGTGGGTTGAAACTTGAAACCATTGTTGGAAATCGAATCATTAACCATAACCTCAACAGACAGGTCATGGCCGTTGTTTGTTTCAGTTTGAATTAAACTCACTCAATTGAGTCCACAGCTTTTGACAGTTGTAACAAAGCTTTTTCTGGGCTTTAAAACCATAAACTGCTGTCTACAGGAAAGTGTAGCAACAGCATGCTACATGTAGGCTTGGGATGATACATAATGTACGCGTACACTCATTCAACTAAGTAATTTTGTATTAATTGGTTATTTTAATTTCAATTTCAATTTCAATTTGCTAGACATTTATTCAACGTTGTTCATTAATACACAAAATTAATGTTATAATTCCATTATTATAACTGGATATAAATTGAATTCAAACCAACATTTATCATAAATCAACAACATACATACTGGAACAACGTTAGGTATAGGGTGAAGCATAGCTTTTGTACCCCAACCTTTGGACAAATACCTACTATTACCATACAAGTTACGAATAGGGACAAAAACGCAGGGACAAAACAGGAACATAACAAAACAAACAGGAGTAAAAATAATTATTCATCAGACATTATAAGAGTTAAGCAATTGAGTTTTCATTTTTTTGGTGAATGTAGATAAAGTTCTGGTTACCTTTTGGGGGAGGTTTACAATTGAACACCACTCAAGCCAAAAACCTCTAAAATGCCATAATTTTGCAATAATGTTACTGACTGTCAGCCAAAATTAAAACTATACCAGATACGGCAAAATGGTAACAATTAATTCCAAAGGACTGGTATACCACGTTCAGATTTATAACAAAGAGTGATAGTACAGGGGCTAATGTGTTTAGAAACGAATACGGACCTTTTCAATCAAAAGTCATATAAAAGAGTGTATCTACCTTCCAACGATTTTTGATTTTGTTCTGCCATTTTAATTAAATTTTTCTCCATGCTTGGGCTATTTCTATGGAGACCATGACAGGTGTGGTTTACTCTAACAATACGGAACATGTAGTAGAAGTAACTTTACCGGCCAACGTAGTCGGCACGTGCAGCGCACACTGTGTGCATGTGGCACAGAGTACGGGTTTGTGCGATCGATTTGAAACACAACTCAAGTGTTTAAACGGGGGTTAAACCACCCACATGGTGGAGCTTCAAATATGCTTTAATCAACATGAATGGTTTAGAACTGTCCAAGGTAATTAGGATTTAAAGGTTAAACATTTTATTCATTCAATGTAAAGGTTGAAGTTTGGCCAACCAGCAAGTTATCCCTATTATTCATAAATAAGTATTTTTCAATCAAAAGCCATAAAAGAGAAGAAATGAGTAGCCTTCCAATGATTTTCAATTTTGGGAAAGAGTTCCATAACTCAACACCCTGTGCACAAACCCTATGAGACTGCAAGGTCTGAAACATTCCAAGTGTTTTTTTAATGCTTCAATATTTTCCCTGCTACATTTGACACGCATCGCTTTTTGATGGCTGATAGGCCACTGCAGGGAAAAATAGTGATGCCAATGTATGGATTTCTTTCCCAATTTTGTTCTGCCATTTTAATTTAATTATTATCCACGCATGGGCTATTTCTATGTTGAGTGCCATGGCAGGTGTTAGTCTGAGTATCACCTGTTGTCCAACAGAACCCTTTCCGCATTCAACGTCTGATATCTGAACAATGCAAATTTTATGCGATCCCGCACGCCATCCAATCGGAGTCGGCTTTAGCAATTGTGATGTCATTTCACTCAGAAATGTGGACTAAGCAGTTGATTGGTCAATTTGGCTAAAATGTTTTTGTAATACAACGGGTTACGGAATACCAGATACAAGGCTCCCGCTGAATGGTCAGAATCTCGAGGTCAAGACGAAGTCTTGTTTTGCATAATCACCAAATCGGCTCGCATATAATGTGCAAAGTCTATTCCATTTGGTTAATCTGTTACAGTCGGCAGGCATAGCACGCACTATGTGCATGATGTGGCACAGAGTGCGGGTTTGTGCAACAAATTTGAAACGCATCTTTGCAGTCTTTGCAGGTGCCGTAGTTTAAAACCACCCACCTGACAGGATCTCCACAAACTTGAATGGTTTTGAACTGTCCAAGGTGATTAAGAATTACGGATAAGAAGTTAACTTATTAATATTCCGAAGGGACATAATAATACCATTGCAGTTGTGAGTCTAGGTGCCACCTTTAGGTACCACAAACTCTGGAATGCGGAGTCGTTACAAACGACTGCAACAGTGATTTGGGGGGTTTTTTTGCATTAAGTTGCTCCTGAACATTTCAAACAAGTAAATTTGATAAGATATTTAATGGAGATGTACTTACCCATGATGGGGGGCTAGGCTTGCTTTTGGGCAGTCCACGTTAAAAATCTCTTCTTCCGGCATCGTGTGAAGGAGAATTTGAGCCACATGTCGGTTAGACGCTTTGTCGTCATGATCCATGTGCATGACTTGGTTCATTTCGGTTCTTAAGACTGGCTCTTCCCTTGACCAGAGATAGGTGGACAGCGTACTGTCTTTGGCACATCGCACGCTAATGAAAAACATTTTCCGTTTGCCAGGGACCGGGTCACAGGCACACATGTCCACAGTCACTTTGAACAGGCACGCTTGGTGTCCGAGGCATAATAGAACCGGATCACAACCAGTTTCTGTCAGGGGCGACTGGGCCACAGGAGGATTCACGAGATCTCGGAATGCCTCCGCTTCGTTCATACCGCCCTCGTTGTCCTGCGGCTGCCGTAGAAATGCAACTGTTGTTTTCTCTGGGGATAGGTTCTTCGCAAACTTGTCCCTGACTGTGTAAATGTTTGTGTTGGCACCCCAGCCAAAGGGCTTGACCAGTTGTGACTGAACCGCGTCAAAGCGGTAAGTTATCTCAGCGATAAAGCTGTCTTTTGGGCAGGTGAAAAATGCCCGCTGGTTTTCCGTCCACTTGTATCGCGTCTCTTCTGAGTTTCTTGGTAGCTCGTGATCGTATCTTACTCGTGGCTGTTCCGGGGCTGCGCGCCTGCCTGTTTGGGGCATTTTTGGTTTCGGGGCACCCATTTTCTGCGGCATGGCTACTTGGGCAGCTTTTTCCATGCCGTGCCTTGGGCCTCGGTTTTTTCCCATCAGTGCTGGAAGCATTCCGTGCCTGTTCAGTTGCGGGAAGCGCTGTCGCGGATCGAAACTCCCAGCTTGACCAACGAGGCAAAGTAGTAAACAAGGCCACAGCAGTACGCAAACCCAGGCCACCCGCCATTCAAAATCCCACCACAGACGAGCCAAACGCTTACCGTCACCACGGCTCATGATGATGATTGTAAGCTGTCCCTTGTCCAGCACTGACTTTCGCGATAAAATAAGCTTGGTCGATCAGTCCACACATTGAAATGTGCTCCGGTGCAAGAACACCAACTATCTATACAATGATGTTTTATTGAAGTTGGTTAATATTTGTCACAGCACTGCACAGCAACCAACGCAAGTCAGGTGACATCCAATCAGCTGCAATGTGATCACTGCTCTTATTAATAAAACATCATCTACTGCGAACGACACAGACTGCAGACAGCAAGTAAATGTACTAGTCTTATGCCTTATATTAACCCTTTAATCACAAATCCGAGAACTACATATATTTAGTGACATACTAGGCCTGCATGATTAATCTTTCCAGTGGCAGGAATCAAGATAAATTTCATGATTAGCTGATTAAGCCTAACCACTACGACTTCATCATTCACGTGTTAATAATTTGTTGACGTTCAACATGTTCAATGACACTGACAGTGACACTCACGTTTATACGAGGGCTGATCACAAATCCATGATTCACCATGTTCACTGAACATAAACAAAACTGACTTCGTCATCCACTTAACTTCCTTTTAAGCCGCAGGACAATCACACTACCACACGACTACACACGTACAATGTCGAAAAGTTTTTGGTGACCACTTTCCATCTTCAAAAGGAACGAGCAGTTTCCCTTACGTCTTGACTTTTTCTTCACCGACATAATCAACATTTTCGCCGCAGGGACATGGTAGCTCGTATGATCACATCATTGGCTAGGGTGACAAGTTGTAAACTAGCGTAGCCAAGTAGACAAAACGGGGAAGAAGCCGTACAAATCTGGTTGGGGAAATTCGGAAGTTCAGACACCGCGGCAAGGTTCATGTCAAGGGTTGATCGCATGTAGGCCTGTATTGCATGGCGTACCCGGCCGGCCGTATGCATGCATGGCATGTGTGGTACAACAATAAACTAAACGAAATCGACTCCCTATCTCGTGAATTATTTGCAACCTCTACTGTAAACAATAGAGGGCGATATGACAATTTACTGGTTGGGTTCGCCAACTCCTCCGGCCTCCTCCCCCCCAAAAAAATTGACAATAATTTGCACTAGGTCAAAAAAATGTGCGGAGAGAGGTGTTGTGTCCGAGTATTGTATCACATTTACGCAGCATAAAACACGCGAATGAGTGAGGAAAAACATGAAGAACAAACAAAAAGTCAACATTTATTTTCGACTTACTTGGCAAATGCACACACACAAAAACATGGAATGTGGTAGTTAGGGGGAATTTATGTACAATTTGGCACATAAGTTAAAGAAATAAAACAATGTTTTGGAATTGTGCTCCAATTGTTCTATTTATATTTATGGCATAATTTATTTGAAGTGCAAACCCTTCTCTTTCCATCAATGTGAACAGTTAGAACTGAACAGTTGTATTTTGTTGCTTTTCGTTTGTTAACTCACTCAATAATGCAACTTCGAAGGAAAACAGAAAGCAAAACAATCAATAGATGTCAACATTTTTTATTCAAGTAATGTTATTTAATACAAGGAACCACAGAAAAGTGAAGAAACAATCATAAACAGATGTGGGTTATTGTTATCGGCAATAAAAACTATACTGAGGATATGCCACAAATATCTGTCGGTGTTCTCAAAGTAAACTACGAAGTACAGTTTAGGGAAAAAAAGCCTTGGCATTGAAGTTAAGAACAACAAAAACAAAAACAAATCAAAACCAAATTTTACCAAAATCGAAAACACCCTTACCACAAATCTGTCAAAATTACCAGACAACTTCAACAACAGATTTTGCATGGTATATTTATATAGATTTGATGAATATCACAGCTTGTTAAAAGTCGATTTATGTTGATCATATAGTTCAAAATTTCTGTATTAAAAATACAATGGTTGCCCTCAACCATTTGAAAAAAATAGCAAAAATAGCACACTTTGCCTGTTACAGAAACCAACATGACTCCCATTTCTCTAAAATATCCTACATTTTAAGTATACTCTTGAACTGTGACAAACAAGTCATTAAGAACAGCACCAAACGTCCCAAAAAAACTTTGTATTCTTGCACTTATTCCAGTCATTTTTCTGAAGTTTTCAATTAATAAAGAATGCTCAGTCATATTTTTCCCCCCAAAAAATAAATGAATTTTATTTCAGGTTAAATTTCTAATATTTTACACAAGGAATCATAGGTGCAAATACATTTTAAAGTTAGCATTCTTGAGTGAGAATATGATTAAATCATATCTATGATTTAAGAACTGCTGACTTAATACAATGGAGGTTTACCAAATCACGGCTTCGTCTTCAGCTTGGGTAATTGAGACATAAAAATGTAACCTAAAAAGACATTAATATTCATAAAAAGTTTTAAAATGACTTATTTCTAGCAACATCCTTCTCACATTAACAATATTTACTGGTGGTGGGCGAGTTACAACATTAAATATCTGCTCATTTAAACAAAATAAAGCTTCCAATTTTATTTCTACAATATATACAAGAATCTTTTCTTTCATGAAGTCCTGTGGACCATATTAGAGGTGATTTTTGTAGCAATGGTGTGGGAGTTCAAATGCATGGCAAATACATGGACATTCCAAAAGAAATACCAACAAAATATGTGTAAGGCACTTGACAAAGTTTTCACACCAGGAATCAATTTTAAGGTAATTCTTAACGAGAAGCGTTGCCAGAAAATTGACATGCCGAGGAAAACAATCAGCTCTGAAGCAGTACCAGGTTATTGATATGAAATGACATGGTACACACAAACCTTTTGTTTTTTTGCTAATCAAATATTTGTTTGCTCTCGGCCAATTTTTGCACTCTGCAGTCTCACGAGATTGGTTCATTTGAAAAAAAGGAGAGGGCAACCTGTGGTGTATATGTCAAACTAGCTTTTATTAGAATGTAACATTAGCTTATTTTTATTACTCTTGAGGCAAATCACAAGTTAAATCACAGGTCAATGGACAAGTCATATTACAAGTAAGAAGGAATAAACAATGACAGAGGCATGTCTTTGTCACTATGGACCATTCCAGACTTGCTATAAGCCCCGCCCACTTCTGGTTTGTGCACATTTCTACAGTGCTTGTGACCGAGTCTGACTGGGCTATTGTGGTCAACTGACCAAAAGTCGTGATCTGATTGGTCAGTGAATTCTGTTTGATTGAAGAAACAGTCCACTTGAATGGTCTACATTCTGTCAAAAACTGACTAGATACTTCATATGAAACAGTCTCTTCTTTGCACTCTCCCAGATTCTATGACCCCCTCCCACCATGAGACATTACTGGTGAATCCAGAACCAAATTTTCAAAGTGAAGAGTTGGGGGGGGGGGGGGGGGAGAGGCTGGACCCCTGATTGCAAGCTGGCGTTCTTTTTCCCGCTCTTCTTTTCTTTCTATTGTAATGTCGGTGCCGGGCTGCCGGCAGAGGGCGCCAGCACGGACCCACAGTGCAACTGTAGTGTTGGGACCCCTGCTGCTGGGCCAGGGAGACCCATTGCCGGACTGCGCCGACTTAGTAGTGTGACATTTTGTATAACGTTCTTTTTGTTGTGAGTTGTATAAAGGGACAGCCTCCTGTAAAGAAAGTGGCAAGAATAAATGGCCTAGAGCCCCAAAACCCTGAAGAAAAGTGTCTGTGGTTTCCTTCGTCTGGCATGTGACAACCCAGGATCCGGTTGACGTTACACTACTAAAATTTCATGGAACTATAGAAAAAAAAAGGATGTGTAGAAAAAGAGACGTCTTCACTCCTCTGGTTAACTTATTAAATAAAAGAATAAACAAATTGGGGGGGGGGGGGGGATGGCCCCCGTCAGTCCATCTGGATCTGTGGTTGATATCAGACGTGTGTGAATACGTCCCCAGCACGCACTCGCTTGACCCACTCCAGTCTGGCGCCACGCAGTGTGAACCTCGTCCACAGTAAGATCTGGACCATGGCACACAGCAGGGGGATGTAGACCAGGCAATGGAAACAGCCCAGTCGCACCACTTCACTCTCCTCCACCGTCAGGCCTGACTCGATGGCACGAAGGGAGTTCCCAGGCTTGGATTGAAATATGTCTTGACCTGACAAAAGGCAAAAGAAAAAACATGTTAAGGAAGGACAATATGTTAAAAAATTCATTCATTCATTTCTGGTTAAAAAAACCCAAGAATTCATCAAAATTGTCCATGACACTGCTGCTTGTAAGCCAGAACAAACCTATTGAGAGAAGTCAATGAAGAAATGGCAATGAACTGCATATTTATTTCGGTATTGTTTCTAGCATAGTGGAAAATGTCATCATGTATCAAGTAACAATGTTATTAAATATATAAATAAAACAAGTAAATTAACTTGCATAATATGCACTGGCATAATAAGTTTTAGGAGCGACACTGCAACCCAACCAGATTTTGTTGCCGATAAAAAAAACTTTTAGGTACAAATGTCCCATTGACTAGACTTTGGAGTTGTTTCAAACAATTGTGGCAGTCACTCTTTTGAAATGTTGACATTTTTAAAATGCTTTGGCTCGGCGTGGGTCAGGAATGCTAGTCTGAGAGGTATTACCTGTCTGTATGGCAAGAAGAGTTGTTCCTAGTAGCGGAGCAATGGTCTGGCCTGGTTTGGACAGCAGGGCTGCTGTGCCAAAGACTAGCGCTGAGACTGCTTGTTTGCGTCTGTGAATCACACAATCCTCATCCACTAAATCACTGATGACCAGGTTAAGTAGCTTGCAGGTGCCCTCCGTGAACACACGGTTACTTTTTGAGGAATAAATGAACAAATAAGACTGTTAAGTTTGTACACTATATTTATGAACTGTAAAAGAAATAGGCAAACTAAATCACACCACATAATTTTGTTTGTTTCTCCATTTAAAAAAATCCCTTGAGGTATTTGTTGTCAGTTTTGTCTGTAAAAATTTGTGGGAGGCAGTAGTTTGGTCATGTCCATCACAAGTCCATCACAGGTCACGTCACAAGAGTACTGCATGTCATAAGTCATTTCACAAGTCCGGCCACAAGTAACAGGGGCCGGGATGAACATTAACAAGTTGTTCACAGTTTATTTGAAAAGCTTGTGACTTGACTTGAGACTGAATGACTTGTGATTGACTTGAGATGACTTCTGATCAAATTCACTACAATCCAGAGGGGAGGGTTGGGACTTGGATGACTTGTGATTGACTTGTGATTGACTTGTGATAGACTTGTAATGGACTTTTGATTGACTTGTAATTGACTTGTGATTGACTTGTGATTGACTTGTGATGGACTTGTGATTGACTTGTGATGGACTTGTGCTTGAATTGTGATTGACTTGTGATGGACTTCTGATTGAATTGTGATGACCTTGTGATGGGCTTGTGATTGACTTGTGATTTTCTTATGATGGACTTGTGATTGGACTTTGATGGACTTGTGATGGACTTGTGATGGACTTGTGATGGACTTGTGATGGAATTGCATTGTAATTGTGATTAACTGCAGAGTATTTTTGAGGACTTGTGAGGGCTTTTGAGAAATTATGTGGATGGGAAGGTTTGGATTTTGATACCTGGCAATGAAGACACACAATAGCCACAGGTTGTCAGGCCCAGCAAATAGCATGAACCCACTCAGCAGGCACTTGCAGTAAAACAGCCACTTGATGACAGCATAGATGCTATACTTGCGGCACAGTGACAAGAAGTAGAGATTGTTAAGGTGGGGAATGACGAATGAGACACCAATCAGCAATGAGCCCATACCAGGGGACAGGGCCCGGCCTAGAAGCCGCTCCAAAAAGAGCGGGAAAAAGTTGCTGTTGAAGTGGCAGTTGAAAACCTGCAGAGCGAGGAAAGGTGGAAAACAAGTATGAGCAGAAATTTGGAAAAGTTACAATTTGCACCAGCACTGGCAATTAATCTTGTTGAGTTGTGTGAAACTTTAAGCTTTAAAAAGAAGACTCCGCTTGTTTTGGGGAGAACGAAAAGAGCAAATAGACTCAATGCAAAAGCACCCCCTCAACGATTACAAAGAGAGAGTTAGGAGGGACCACTGGAAGGGCCTCTTGAATGTATTGCTGACAACATCTGACACTCATGCGAAGACGCTATGGGTTTTTCTACCGAAATTTTCAAAAATGGTCACAAAATGCTGTCTTTGTCAATGCGTAGAAGTCACAGTCCTTCATTGTTAAAGATTATGAGTGATACCACAAAAACACATATGGAAGCTTCTTGATTGTACTCATTTTTTGCCCCTTGTTTACTGCATGTTTGTTGACTATTTTCCCATTATGTACTTGGGAAAAAATGACTTTCTGTAGTGTGAATCACTCCCATTAAAATGTTAGCTGCTGAGGTGAAATGATAAGAAATAAGGGTTTCCAAATGTAGACAGGAATCTTACCTGTACAAGATTGAGGAGGGAAAAATACTGGAAATTGGAATGTTTGCTCAACTGCTTGATATAACGCTTAATGGTCACCTCATCTTCGGTGGTGGCTTTGGTGGTGACATCTTGCGGTTTAACACTTGATGAGAGAGCAAAACAAACTATCATGAAATATGTAGGTGTTGGAAATGAGCCAGCATTTTATGTTTATTCCTTTGGTAACAGGAACCTCAGCTGCGTCTGATTCTCTTGTCTAGAGTTATTGTCTTTGTCTTATTTTATTTAAACAATTTGGACAAATAGACATAGCCCTAGCTCTGGACATCTGTTTTGTTAACAGGCACTAACTTACCAAATTCTTTAACCCTAACAGGACTGGGGAAAGGGAGGAATTTGCCCACATACATTATTTGTCTGATGGCATTGCAGTGTGATTTTTTTTTGTGCTGAGCCTTTATAAACTTTTAGACTGATGTCTAGCAGGCATTTTTACATCAATTTCATCAAAATCAGACATAGTGTTGCCACAGAATAACAAATTGTTCAAAAATGTCTTGTTTTCCCATTGACTGTGTACAGCAAAAGCACTCATTTACACACAGATGGAATTGTGAAATATCAATTATAGCACACCAAATTTCACATGGAAAATCCTCTAAAACTTCCTGGCGGCTTTTGAACGATCTAGGAGGATTAGGGTTAAACTGTGAACTCACCTGATGACCGATGTCATTCCGTCATCCTTCTTGCGTAAGTCCTGATACTGCCTGCTCAGGTGGCGTGACACGAAGAAAAATCCCACAGCCGAGAACATAGCCAGGACAAAACAGAATATCTGGAAGGATTGCATGGTATCCCGGTCCCACACCACATAAGATAGGAACACTGACAGGGAACCAGCCGCACTGAAGAAAGAACTGTAACCATTCAGCTTAGTTCTGCAAAGAAAATGAAAATGTTTTGTTCACATTCTTACTTCATGACACTGTGAGTGGCAAAAGTGTTACATACTAAAGTTTTGTTTTCAATTTTTTTGTAAATTTTGTGAGAACACAGAGTCTCACAGTGGTTTAAAAAAATATAATGAAAAAATAGTTTTCCAAGTATTTAATTCAAAAACAGTAAAATCATTGAAATAATATCTACCAAGCATAGAAGTAAAATTATCAATGTCATAAAAACGAGTGTTTTTTTTACAACAGAAAAAATCCAATGTTGGTTTTATTTCTCAAAATTCTCATTCGATCATTTGAAGCAAATAAATATAATGATCAGGAGAATAAAAGAAATGAAAGTGACTTTAGTAATTTGTGTCACTTGGGTCAAATTTCTGGGCATGACCTTTTTAAAATTTGGGCTAAATTGGCAAAACGAAAATAACGAACCAGGGAGCTTCATAAAGTCATAGTACTATTATTCACTGAAGAAAGAGGTTTGGTAATGAGGAAAGGCAGGGGAAAATTGAAGGGGATTTCATTCTACCTGTCTTTGGCAGATAGAGCTAAATCAGCCAGCAGTGCCGTATGGTGCAAATCGACCGCAGTCAGGAATCCATCATACAGGCACAGAACCACGGCAAACTGTAAGCCCGGGAATGCCCAGACAAACCAGAACAGCATGAAGGAGAGGGCAAAGAGTGGACCGTTGACTGTCAGCGCCCACAGACGTTTGATCACCAACTCTGGCTGGACACCAAATCTACCAACAGTTCTGAAAAAAATCCCAAATAAGCAAACCTAAATCAACACTTGATACTTTTAGACCTGTTGCATCACAGTCTTAAGAGTTGCTTTGATAGAAACCTTGGCAAATCCACAAGTCCAATCCTTTTGTACTTTGTTTTACGTCAGCTGTGTGTCTAAATATTCATACTCATTGTGAAGTACTTAGTAAGCACAGCCTTGGTGCCTAGGCTGGATTCCTGCTGGACAAACCTATGTTTCAGACTTCAGTTTATTTAGGAACTCAGAAAAGAACTCGACTACAACATTGTCATTTACAATAAGGGCCCAATTGACCTATCACTGTTTGAGGCCCTAGTTGCTTACTTGTCACTGTTGAGTAGCGACTTGTCACTCAGCCAGCCAAAGAGAGGGTCATTCAGAGAATTCCAAATCAGGAATATTGTCTGTGAAAACCAAAAAACAAGCGTAAAACATGAAATTGATGTTATTGGTATAATATATATATTTATTGAGGTAAATAAGGGGTAGATTAAAAGTTTGTCAACATTCATAAAAATGCCTCATAAATTAGGTTTCATATTTGATACCAAATTTATTGTTCTAAATTTAGGGAAAATGGGTCAGTAGTGGAAGCCCAGTAAAATGACGAGAGAAGCAATTTTGTTTCAATATTTACCTCTCCAATCCAGAACGATGTCTTGTCGATGTGATAGACAGACACAAAGACCTCAACATGGTACAGGAGGAACACGTTGTGAATGATGGAGAGGAACAGCGCCATAGAGCCGTAGCAAACGCCGACCCGAGTCTCCGACAACATCCTGGGTCCGCTGGGGAAAGCAACTGCTTGTAAACCCGTCACAGAGTTTGACTTTATTTTTTGCTTGTATCTCAGGGTTGTGTTGCCATGGTAATGTTATGCTCCATCCCTGCGCTCTCTGGAAAGTAAGTCTGTGGTAATTAAGCAATAAAATGTTAAACCATTTTAAATCCCATTAATTAGTGTATCATATAAACAAAATGTATCATATAAACATATATAAAGTATTTTCTCCTTTATGGGATTTTCTAGGGATTCAAATGAAAATATACCTTTGACAACATACTCTCTCTTTCAGTAAATTTTTGTAAGGCAGTGGATATATTGCGTGACAAGCAATATACCTCCCAACACCATTTTGCTGTGAGTACTGCGCTGTAAGTGTAATTGGCTGTTTTGATAGGAAAGTTATGTATATTTATGAGGAAAGAAATTTGTTATTACTTCGTCAAATAGTTAACTAGTTACGTTACGGTACATTAATTAAAGCATTTCAAAAAACGGACATTTCAAGAAGAAAAAAAAAATTAACCATAGATCTAAAGATCCCTGGTTCAAATCTCATTTTTCATCATCAATTTTTCTTCTCCAAATTTATAGTTGGGATATATCCGGATAGTTTTTAAATTACTAATTTTTTTTGCGTGAGAAATCCCGTGTGGGCTTGAGACTGAGAGTTACCTGAAATGCCCAAGTCTCAGGCTTAATGGGTGAGGGTTGGCAGCCCTACACTCACGCTGTCACAGCAAATTAGCATTAGGCATGTTAGGAAATGTAGGCACTTTTGCCGATCATGGCAAAATAAATATCCACACTGAGTCTGAGTGCTGAGTGACATGACAGTGACTGCCTTTAATTTTGTTAATTGTTATGTGGCCAATTTCCTTCCAAAGCAATCAGATCCCAATTTGATATAGGCCTACGGCAAAAGATTTCTACTTTGGCCTATAAATATATGAGGCAGGGTATGCGACTAAGAGAAACAAAGTAACACAGTAACCCCTCCTATCCTATTAAGCCCCGCCCCTATTGCTCTTAACTGATGCGATGACTGAAGTTCAAAACACGGCCAAGTTTACAGCCAAACCTTGCGCAAAAATTAACTTACACATGTCCTTGGAATCTATAAAAGAAGAACAGCAAATATATACGTATCACTAATGTTTCATGTTGTAATTTTCATCCTATAAATCTGGCTTGCAAGCTGGCAAGTGGCACTTCGATCGATCGTATGTTCCTAGATCCTCTCTCATTTAGTCTGGCAACTACCGGTATGTCGCACATGACACTATTTTCGGGCTTGATGGTACTGGGAGACAGATCAAAGTCAATCGCCACGAAGCCAGCCGGTGTTTACATTAAAGGAGCACTATGTCTTAAAAGTCCTCAATAAAAATCGGTGCCGATCCGTTTTCCAAGGTTGCAAAATAAAGAATTATTAAAACTTGTTATGTTACAATAAAAATAAACAGATGTACGAGGGTGGATTTCCTTATTAGAAAAATCACGAAAACAAACTCAAGTACTACAGGGAGCGGCGTAGCCAGCGTTCTCACCATAGGGTACTTATTTTTAATTATTATGTTAGTCCTTTTTTCTGTAACTATTTAACCAATGTATAAATATATTAATGGGCTTAAAATTTACCACTAATGATTTTTAAATGCCGAGTTGGTTTTTGTACAAATATAAAAATGGGCTTATCATTTAGTTAAATTATTTGGTTCTTAGGTTTTAATGTAATTATGCCTGTTTTACTTTTGAACAATTTCTCTTTTTTTAATATTTGTTTTTAAGGTTGTCAAGGTTTTGAAGAGTTTTTAATTTATTTCTAAAAATCGTCAAGGGCCTTGAGCTTCACTTTGAAGAATTTGGCGCTCTATAATATTATTATTATTATTATTTACAATACGCACAACGAGATAAGAGATCTTATGCTTATCCGCGTTGGAACAACTCGACTCAAGCTGCGTCCCGCAGCCTCAGAGCTTGAGCGTTTTCGAAGGATTCTTGTAGTTCCAAGAAGAGCCACCTTCTGCAGCAATTCCAACTTCACGGTCGTGCCGGTCTCGTCGAGGTGTTTCTCCAGTGACCTTGGAATGGTACCCAGAGCCCCAACAACGACTGGAATGACCTTCACCTTGACCTTCCACAACTTACTTAGTTCCCTGGCCAAATCCTTTTTATTATCATTATTATTATTATTATTTGGGTACGTGCAAGAGTGTGTGTGTGTGTGGGGGGGGGGGGGGGGTCGGTTACAGTGGGTGGGTATGCAGCTGAGTACGGGTGGCTGCATTGACACTGATTCAGTATTCTTAAAATTTCTAATCATTAAAATGTCCCCTTCTTAAAATGTACTCTTGAAACGTTGCAACCAGTAGGGTTTTTTGTAATAAATTATTGAGTATCATGATCACTGTGAACTTTGCAGTTCCATTTAGCTGTAGATTATAGATGACTACTACTGCTCCTTTAATATGTAGTCTTATAGCGACTTTATTCAGGTAGGATATCACATTTGCTAGAAATGACTGCCAGATAGTGGTCAATGATTTGCTACAATCTCATAAACATATTAGTCTGTGACTTTACTTACTAGGGTTGCTTTAATATTATAAATTCAAGCCCACAAATTAGGAATTATGAGGTCTTTTCAAGTCTGTTGTCACTGACCACAGCCTTGAATTCAGGCTATAATCCACAAGGCGCGATTTCATTTTGGCTGGTTCGCAAGGACATGAATCCGATTGTAAATCCACCGTAATCGGCAACGGCTACCAGCGAAGCCAAACTTTCCTCGTCGTTGCATCCATTTTGCGTCGCAATCATCTCCAAGCAAGTTTAGTCCCAAACGCATCGGAGAAAAGGCGCCAGAATTCACTGCACGAAAATTATGGCCGAGGAAGATTCTGAGGCAGTGCGCTGCCTCACGCAAATGTCTGACGAAAATGCCCAGTCGTTGGAGCAGGAAAATGCAGTTTCCACGCAGGAGCAACAAGAGACAAACCCAACGCCAAACGACCACGATTATGTGGAAGGTGCAAGTGGAAAACAACAGCACGAAACGAAATTGGACATCGTGAATTTACCGGCCTCGGAAGTGCCGGTTGGTGAATTTACCGTAATTTCTTCGCCCCTGACACCGCGTCAACACCAGCCCCCAAAAGAGGCAAAAACAACTAAAGTCAAGCCTGATCATGAATGGAACAAAATGGGGACATGGAGCACTCCTTACAAGGGATACTTCACGACTAGCGAAGAACTTGAGCAAGTCATCAGGTGCTACACGGAGGAGACGGAAAGCCGGTGGACGGTGAGCGCGAAAGACAAACTCTTCGGATCAACTGGTGAGAACTTGGTTGCAAATGGTTTCTTAAATACAAAAATTAAAGCATCGGTTCACCCCAAAAAGTAGTTCATGTTTATGCAAGCTTAAGTTATGCAGGTTTGTGCTATTTTGTTTTCTAGATTATGATTATGATTTGAAAGAAAAATTTTTGAAACCACATTTTTGTGGCCTACGTTTTGAAAATAGGCCATATTTAATAAACATGATATGATTTTGTATAGGCCCGGCCGGCCTATATTATTTTTTTTCTCGCAGGTCAGTTTCTCTGCAGGCCTTTTTTCCTTAATTTTTTACCCCTCCTTACTTACAGATATAAAAGTCAGCAACTTCAAGTTGTTCTGGAGGGGGCGTGAAGACAACAGGAAAGCAGCTTTCCCTGATTTTGATGGCATTCCTTTCATAATGATCGGCCGTAAGACCTGGGGCTGTCACCTAGGCCGAGACAAGTGTCGCTCAGGAAAGATCAAGTATCGCACCAAAATGCAAGCAGAGAGCCAGGTGTGCTAACTTGCCTAGCACTCTATTTTGTTGGCACAATTCAACTCATGTAGGCCTAGTGTGAAGTGTTGATTGTTCGAATACAGAATTAATTACATTAATCAGACAGAATTAATACAATACATTGTGATTGTTTGGTTACAACATGTGATGTGAAAGTTAAGGACCTGACACCAAAAATTCTTACTTTAGGCAATTACATCATATTTTGTCAACCAGGTTATTCTCATGATAGATCCTTTTTCCTTATTTAGTGTTTCATGATGATGGCTAAAGTTTTGTTAACAAGTGTAAACAATACAAAACAAAACAAAAAAAAATTTCCCAGAAAGTTTGATAAAACCAACTTTTTGTTTCATTTAACTTTACAATTAGAATTCAAGTTTGAAATAATTTTTTTGTTCATGGCTGTTGTTCTAAATTATCTTAATTAATGTTGGAAATTAAAACTTTCACATTCATTTTTGCTCTCAATTCATTTGTTCTTAAATATCATTTTTTTAATTCACAGGCAGGTGAAACAGGGAAATGGCCCATCACACGCTCCTCTAAGAAGCTTGGCTGTCCAGCGCTCATCACTAGTGTCCATGTGCTGAAGTTCCATGAATACCCAGTAAATATTGACAGATCTCTCTTTTTTGGTGGATAATTTATTATTGATACACTGATATCATTCACACAAAACAATACAGAATGATTTACTTATGCACAGAGTGTCATTTATGTAATGTCCTTTTTGAAGCTGAAAACTACTCTCAAGGGCTTAAAGGAAGTCTACGGGGACAGAAACAATAGAAAGGAAAGAAGAGATGTGTCTATTCAGGAGAAAAAAATTGATCATTGGATGAAAGAGAACAAGCTTTAGGCAATATATTTCATTGCAAGAACATGAAAAGATATCAAAATTTTATTCAGCACTGCAATAAAAAGATGATGGTTGAAATTTTAATTTGTGAAATGCAGCAAAATTAGGAGCAACTTGGCGTTAGAAATGTTTGTGATGTAAAAATCTGTTTGTAATAATCGCTGAAAAGTGTTGAAACCTGTTGTTTCAGAAAAAAAATTTGAATGAACATTTATAAATCTTAGTCTTACTCTGTTTTAAAATTAAAAAATTGTAAGAAAAACACACCTTTTTTTCACCCACTTGAATATTTCATTTGGTTTGGTGTTAATTAATTTCATCACAATATTAATTAAATAGTGAAGACTGTCAGTGGAATATTACACATATGAAGTGATGAAAGATTGATGTTCATGATCAAATGTAGTAAAGACATTTTGAAAGTAATTTCAGTTGTCAGAACAAAGTTGTTTACTTTTTTCCTTCTCTTGATTGAAAAAAAAATTTTTCTTATTAACAGATAACGAAGACAATGAGTGAGTTCCATCGTAAGCAGTTGCTGAAGAGATTGAGGCAGTCCCTGTTGTCAAAGCACAGCATCGTCAAGGCGGAGCAGCGATTCTATGTTAATCTAGCTCCACAGGATGAGCATATCCATGAGGGCGTCAGTGTTAACGCCTGGCAGGTAATGGAATATGTGATGTGCTCTGTGAAAAATAGAATTCTCTCATTTGTTATTTCCCAGGTTTGCAGCATTGCTAATGTTGCTAGCATCGTGACTTTGGGGGTGTGGCTACATGGCATATATGGGTTTATGGCTTCTGACTAGTGCCCCTTGAACGGAGACATTGACAAGTTGTGACCTGTCATGAAATGAGCTTAAAGTCGGACAGTGGAGCAAGCCAAAATTTGAAGGGGTGGTCGATTTTCTGTTTCAGGCGAACCTTAATCTGTAAGTCCTGTGCTACCTTTCTCAAATATTTTGTTCTGTCAAAAATCTTTAAAACCTATTTCATCCCATTTTTATTAGTTGACTGTGCATTCACTGTAACACAACTGCAACATTTAAAAATGCCATTTTATCAAGAATTTGTTTTACCACTTCAAAGTTTGTGATCTAAATTTCTGTTACTGAGCTCATTTAAAGTGTTTGTTCTATAGAATCCAGATATCTTAATTCTTAAAACGTCTGACTTTAAGCTCATTTTGTGATGACAGGTTACAATTGGAGAATCGCCAACATAGGGCTGGATAGCTCAGCTGGTAGAGCACCAGAATGGCAATCCGGAGGTTACAGGTTCACATCCATTTTACTTTTGAACAGACATCACTAGACAGCTGTTTAAAAGTTTAATTTTTGGGGGAAAATAGATTTTTTCTGCATAATTATTTCAGGAAATTTTGAGATGAAATATTGTTAAAACTTCCCGAGAAATTACATGGAATAAGAAATCCTAGAATGTCCAGCATAATATTCCTGTGTTTTTTTAACCAAGGTAAGTGTGCTCCAAAAAATCAAAATTAAGTTGCAATAACGACCCATATTTCATGAACTGAAGAAAAAAATGCAATACAATTATATGATATTTGATATATGTACACAATGATTAATAAAGTAGCTAAATGACAACATTTAGGTGTAAGGTGAAGCTAGATGCTTTTGTACCCTAACCTATGGTCACACAAACATAAAACTGTGATATGGACAGATTAAAAACCTGTTTCTATTGGCAGGATACCAGCTGCAACTCAGTGTCTTTCCAGGTGGACCGTGGCCTTATCTACAAGATCACCGAGCTCCATCATGCCGGCATGTTCAGATTGGCCGATGTCAGTCGTGTACTGGATCACTATCGTAAGCAGCGGTATAAAGGTAAGAAAGACATATCGTTTGTGAAAAGAACGGAAAAAAATAGAAATAAAAAAAACCGAATTACTTTTTGTACGTTTGGGACATAATGGCAGTTCAAAAGTTTGTTTGAGAGGGTTGCAGCAGGTTGGAGAAGCCCCCCACCCCAATTTGGTTTTGTATTTTAAAAAAATGAAATACACAAAAAGAAGATTGTTGAGAACTAAATTGAAAATTTGGAAGAGCACAAGCAGAGTAACGTTAAGGCTAAAAGTGCAACGCCGAACCGTCTTTCTTTTTGGTTTTCAGATGAGGAGCCACCTTCCCCAGACCTCATCCCGGAGCTGTACCCAAGCCACAATGTCATCCATTTCTTTATTTCCCATGCCATCAAAGTCACCAGCATCTTAGAGTTGGACCTAGGCCTAGGCCATCGTCTTGTCAGTGGCTGGCAGAGTGCCTTCCCTAACGACAGCTGGTATTACCAGCCGTTCGCATCCAGTGGACCCATCAAGCGTGCCCGGAACAAGCGGGACCGGCTGCTAGTAGGACACTACCCAGACCTGTCGCAGACCTTCCTGTTCTGCTGCCAAAATGCTGCCCAGCGCCACTTGCTAGACGCCTATGGGACTGTCTGCCTCTTGGACAGCCCATATGGCAAGACCGTCATGCCCACCTACTTCCTACAAGTACGGACTGTCACCGGTTACCAGGTAGTGGGTACCATCATCATGCAGTACTGGAGCAGCAAGGCGTTAGTGGAAGCTCTTCAGGTGGTCAAGGATTGGAATCCCGAATGGCAACCCCAGGCCATGTTGGTGGATATGATAGAAGAGGAAGTCGAGGCTCTGCAAAAGCTCTTCCCAGGTAAGAGAATAGTTCAGCGGTTCTCCACACAATTTCTGTTGTGCAAGAGGAGTGAAGCTTTATACACCATTTCAGACCAGAATTCCCCCCATCAAAGTTTCAGATTTTAGTTTCAGACAGCCAAAGTTGTTTTCATTTTCCATAAGACACTGGAGTCATTCAGCAACAAGTGTTCCTTTGATGTAGTCACTCTCAAATGTCTTCGAAGGTGGAATCTGTTAAGTTCTTAATTCTGATCTTCAGGATAATTTTGTTGGACGGGACTATAGAATACCAGTCAGAAACAGGTCTAGAAGTTTGCCTGTCTGAAACCAAGATGTATTTAGGTTGAAATGAGCAGCTCTAAATGCCTTTTGATTGGGTGCAACCATAGAACATCATGCTGAAATGGGGGGTTAATCTGTTGCTTTGGATGACATAACCATTTCATTTTGCTCAAAACTGTCCTTATTTTCTGAACAGACTGCAATTTTTTCATCTCCTGTGTTCACCGTGAGCGGGCGTGGCTGGATTATCTTGGTGCCAGCGAGAAGGAGGATCGGAGCTCCGACTCCGCCCTCCTGGATGCCCTGGTCTATGCTGGAACTGAAGAAGAACTGGACGAGGCACTAACAAAGCTACACCACAGTCCTCTATGGGCCCAGAATCACCGACTCCGACACTGGATGCAAGTCCAATGGCTACCACACGTCAAGGTAAAGACAAATCCGGATGTGTGATCACTGTAACGCATGAGGCCCCCTGCAATGGTGAAACAATGGTGCCCCTTATTGTACAAAGCAATTGCTATGTGATGCATTGTCTAAATAACAGCTAGCACAATGCTAAATTGCAATTGAAGGAGGCCTTCGTGATAGAACTGATCGTGTTCCTAGATTGGTCTGTAGTATCATCCAGTGATTACATTTTGCAGCCATTTCTTGGGTTGCACCACACCTGCGTGCAGGAATTACATGGTGCTCAGTGTCCTTTCAAAAAAGTCTGTTTTCATATTACACATGCGCCTCAAATTAAGAACACTTCTCAGTGCTGTCCAAGGGCTTGTGGGTAGTACAAGCGTACTCGGGTGGGCTAGAACCCATGAAACCTGCCTGCAATATGCAGATGTCTCTCTGAATCTGATATAGAACTCATCTGCAACAAAGTTTTTTTTTTTTCTGTCTTTGCAGATGTGGTCGCATGCCTTCCTCAGCAAGCCCATACTAGTCACCTTGTGTGCCAACGATGGTATGGACAGACTGAGGGAAGCCATGGTCTATGATTGGCTAGAGGCCGTCCGAAGCCGCACCCTCAGTGAACTACTGACTAGTCTCATCATGGAGGAAATACCCAAGCTGTATGACAGGTGCGCCATCTAGAGTTGACAAAAATGTCAGTGTCATTGTCAGTGTCATTGCTAGTGTCAGGGCTGAACATCAGTGTCATTGCTAGTGTCATGGCACTGAATTCATGCTAAGCTTTCATTTTAGATTTTTGGGAGGCTTTTTCCAAACTTTCACTCGGGAGGTAACACACTAAGTATACAGTGTTTATACATCAGTGAAGGGCAAAACCTAATATTGAAGATTTCATTTTGTTAATTCAATTTTTGTCAATTGTCACATAGCTACTGTGAAGAGAACCGCACTATGGCTACGTCAAACCGGTACCAGTTTTGCGCGGGTTTACCGGTGTACATCCGACATCAACCAGTGCCCGCTCGGTCCCACATCAATGAGTTAATCTCCTCGCTTCCTTCCATGAAGATCACCAAGAAGGATGGGGGGAAATTCCTGGTCCGACGGGCAGATGAAGACGATTTTGAGCACCAAGTTGACTTTGGCAGCGAAACGGAGTACCCTTCTTGTAATTGCTGGATGTGGGTGGCAGGGATGGAGATCTGTGAACACTTCTGTGCCATTTTCAAAGAATGTGCAGACTGGCATTGGTGCCAGCTGTCCACGCTCTACACAGGCAATCCAATCTTCGCGTTGGACCACACCGTGCTGGAAGTTCAACCACGTGAAATGCCGCGATGCAACGACAACAGCAGCAGTAGCTCTGATGACAATCCTGACCTCCTTGAGGTGTCCATGGATGATTTCGGTGCCCAAGAGGTCTTAGGTGCCCAGGAGGTCTTAGAAATGGACGGCAGCTTGGACGGTAATGACCTAGCTGGCTCAGCCTGGCGACTGGATCACAAACAAAACACCTGCAAAAACCTGTTAGATCAACTGGGTGCACTCACTGAGCAGACTAAAGACCCTGAGGCAATGGACTACATGACCAACAACTTGGTGCTCTTGCTGAGACAGATGCAAGGAAAGAAAGAAGAGTCTCCCCCGAGCCCCCCAAAACAGACGCGGGGGAGGAAGCGACTTAGAAGTGGACAAGCAAAGTAGACTCTGAGCAAATGAACATGGTCGTGATGAGTGGATCACACAAATATGCCTTGCGTCTTTCACTCAACGAAAACCATTTGAAACAATTCAGGGAAAGATGAAACATACTCCAGACTCCAAAAACAAGTTGGATGGAAGTTCTAACCCAAACCTTAACCCTACTGAATGGTAACAACATGTTTAGTTAAGAAAGAGAAAGGCCTTTCCAGGATAACAAGATCCAACAGGTCAACTTTCTCAAAGTTAAACAGCCTCAGGGTCTGAGGCTGCCAGCCACCACAGGATCCACCAGTGGCATTGTTTTACTAATTACAAGCTCCTGTTGTTTCAGATGAGGTATGAAGACCAGAATTGTTTCTTTTGCTTTTGCTTGGTTTTTGTTTGTTTTCTTTCAAATGGTGAATCTTTGGACAATGCAAAATCTTCATCTGTTTCTTTTCATTTATTTGCCATTCCTGAAGAGCCTGGAGAGTTCAAAAAGAAAAAATTCACAAGTCTTTTAGCATGAGCAAGTCTTGATATTGCCTCATTTGGACACAATCAAAATATCAGTCAAATTGTGTACCCGTATGTATTCTGTGGAAATCAGGGAAATATTTGCACTAACTTTTAGTGCGGATGACAGTGGTATGTCAGTCGTATGCGTGTGTTATGGGCAGCTGCAGGCTTTTATATAATTGTGCTTTGACCACTTATACAAAATCTTCAAAATTGTGGAATTTCAACACACATTTTCTGAATTAATTTTGACAAATACATGTATGTAGTTTGGTATGCCAGTGGAAAAACGGTGTATCATGATTTGCCTATTTGGAAAAAATTCTTTAACAGTCAATTGGGAACTTCTGGGATTTGCTTTGACTTTCACACTGAATTTCAAAATTCTTAAATTGTTTGTAATGTTTTCATTTGAAGTTTCATTAATTATATATTCCCAATATTTACCTGAATGAATTTGAAGCCTGTCAACAAGGAGATTTGGCAACACAGCATAAGGAAGGTCAGGGATCAAGTTGAAGTGCACCACGTTAGGGAACTTGGGAGAGAACAATGCGTCAAGTAAACTGCAGAGACAGAAAGAAAAAATATGCAAAATTAGGGATCAGGCTTTACCCTTCAGAAAAAAAATCTCAAATTTTTATATTGCGCAGACAAGGTTCGAGCAGTTTACTAGCAAATTTTGAAGTCGGAACTTTGAAATAATACAGTTTAGTTTAATTTTCAAGAATCTTTTGCACCATTGACTGCAACAGTTGTAAAACAAAAAGTGTACTTACTTGACTGGCATGCATCCAACTGTTGAACAAGAGGGTCATGTAGTAGTCTGGTGCTTTGTCTTTTGGGAGGAATGTTGGGTGAAAAATAGAGTCTGGGTACCAGATGCCTCCTTTTATCGGTATCTTGTGGACACACTTCTATACGTTGGACTGAAATATATAACTCTGTTTGCCTTTGTGTGAAATGGTGGGTGCTATTTGAGTGGATTATCTCTGTACATGTACTCGTATTTACCCACCCATTATAGCACCCTCCTGTTGTATGTTGAAAAGGCTGATGTAGCTTAATTCTTTTTTTTTCTTATTATGCAAGTTTTCACCATCACATTTTGAAATTCCCGAAAAATATTTTTACTGTCAGATGCTTCACAGTCGAGCGGAAACAATTTTGAGCAGCTGTAAAGGATAATAAAACAAAACAAAAAGCAGGACTGTGTCAATGTAAAAGAAAATAGGAATCAAACGAAACTTGCCTAATATACCCAGATAAAAAATATTTATTTGCATTTTGACTCTAAAAATAAAACAGAATGACATGTACGTGTCTTACAAATTGGTATTACACAATAACAGTTTGTTTTTTAACTCAAGATGGGTTGCAGAATGTGCCGTATTTTGGTCAGCCTTTCCATAAAACCTGTGATAATACTGCTGACGACTTGATCCTTAGCAATTGAAAATGGTCATCATGGTGTGACATCTTGCTGAAAAGTTTTAAACGTTCATAAATGTCAAATATCAGTCTTTTGTTAATGTCACATAAGTGTTCATCAATATGCAAATATATAATGTGAAAGAATGAATGTGTAAGACCCACAATGAATTACCACCGATGCATTAACTAACACTTTTGCAAAAACAAAAAGCATTGAAAGTACGTTAAAAAAATGCCCTTGATATTTATTATCCATACACATAATTTAATAACTGAAGTACAAAAAATGTTACATTAATTTTTAATTCAAACTCTCCACCAATGATAAGTTGCTTTCTTTAAACTTTTTCCTGCTGTAAACAAAATGTTAGTTGTTAAATAAAACAATTATTGTTCTTTGCAAGTTTTCAGTTAAGTACTTTTTCATGGAATAATTTCTTTGACTGTATTGGCCATCTTGATGAAACAAATTTGAACAAATCAATTCCCAAAAAGCGCAATTTTAATGTTTGATTGTTCCCGCGCATGTGGCAAAATGAGTTTTTATGTACCTGTCCATTGTACAAGGTAGCATACATGACCATTGATTAAAAGGATTTTTTATTTAATACATTATTTGTTTACACAGTGATTGAACCAACCAATTTTGTTAAAACTTAGTACTCAGTATTGTCATCAAAACACAGGCTTGCATCTTACATATTACATGATAAGTCTTACACTGTTTGTTTGTATATATCTGCTACTGTAAATTTCTTTCAGGATTTTCCTAAGTATTAAAGAATGTGCCTTCAAAAGACCTTGGTTTATTTGTGCAGTTTTCAATCTGAGCAATAAAGATCAATTTTGTGAAAAACACTTTGTGTGTGAGTCTGTTATTAATGTTACCTAAATAGTTTTGAAAGACATCTTAAGTTGTAAACTTTATATCAATTGGCATTGTAACAATACATATACACTGCCATCTTGGAGAATTTTTGTTATTTTGATCAAGTGACAATTATTACACAATAGGCATACTCGGTGCCTATCTCTATTGAACAAAAAGTAATGCACCTCCAATATGGCTGCCATGCTAAGGGTCTATTTGCTTTTTAAGAAAAGTTTTTCTTCTGAGGTTTGATTTATCTACTTCAACATAGGAGATTAAATTGGGGGCCAAGTACGAGAATATGAAAATTAAGGTTTAGTACTTTTTAACTGCATTACATTTGTCACTTTTCCTTAACACATTTTTGTTTCCAATTTTAAAAGGACTACATGTACATAAGTGTAAACAAATAGAATGTCTAGATTTAGGTGCATACGTGGCTAATTAAGATTGAAATATAAAAGAAAGTTTGAAAGACAAGTAAGCAAATAAACGGAGAAAGAATGAGCTGAGCATAAAAGTAATATCCACAATTAGACCCTAGGAAATGCAAAATCAATGAGCACAATATTTATTGTCATTGTCAGTAATTCAATTTCATGGTCGTTTGTGTAGCTTCTCTGAGAAAAGACAGCCACTCTGCAAAATTGTGCCAATAAAAGAATTACTGAAATGGCCATTGTTTTGCACTGATTTTGTGAAGACTTGTGTCTTGTGATATTAAATAGTTGATAGGTTTTGGAAGATTAAAACATTCTTGTCCAGCAAGAAAATATGGCAAAATCCAAAGAAAAAAATAAAATAATAAAACAATATTAGCATAAGTGAAAGCACAGTAGCATAAAGTTTGCAATATAAATTTTTAAAGGTTAGTTTTATACAATTACAATGATAAGCATACTAAAGCATGCGTAATCCCATGCTGAAACATACGATAGTCGTGATAAAAACAAGTATTTTAAGTACTTGTTACAATTATTTTAACCATGTCACAAAGGGACTTACATGTACATTAGTCGGCTTCGACAGCTTTTAAAAAAATGCTATACAATATTATTATACATCATTGACACTACGATATGGCCTTTTGACAAATAGGTACTTATAAAAAAGGGGGGAGGTGTATACATTGGGCCTTTTTTGGACAGTCAAAGTTAAGTTTATTCAGCGTTACTTCCAATCATATATTTTTAGCCTGCCACAGTTACATGTAAAAACTTGCTCATAGACCACCTACTTCGGGGATATTTTGTTTGCCAGAATCAGTCAATTTTACACTTTCTAAACCTAAAATAGCATGTGAAATTTGACCATGTCCATATTATTAATTTGATCATGTCATTGTCAATTTGTCTATACAATTAAATATCAACGGATAAAAATGGACATTAAATGTATTCGTTATTTTCCATTTTTCCTTAATTAATTAACGACCAGTTAGTCCCATAGCAATACTTTGATCCATTAACACCTTAATACAAAAGAGATACATTTGGCAGCTACATATTTTTCTTATTTTTCGAACATATAACTATTTAAAAAATATTACAGTTCCATAACGCTCTCAAAATCTGCTGAAATCAAAATACAAAAACCCTCTATTTGTTATTGTGAAGTTTTCCAAAAACTTTTTTGGCTTGCCTTTAAGAATGAAAATTTGTTTGATTCTACAGAAGTGTACATAGGGTTTGCATACATTCTGTGGTTAGTTTGGTAAGTACCATATGTTAAAGACATTGTTGCAATGTCTTTAATTGCACTTCATGGTTAAATTTAAGGAGCTTCTAAGCCTACAATATTGCTTAACACATTTGTACTTAGCATGAGTCAGCTGGGAACCAGTCAAAAGTAATATACATTGCATGAAATTTTGGCTGGTAGCCTACTTCTATTAAGCAAAGTCTTTGCTTTCGTGGTCCTGTGCTTAGTAGCTTTGTGAAATTGGTCCCCAGCATTTGATTCAAGCAGATTTTCGGCATTTCAACGAACAAGGAAAGAAAATGATTGTTTTGACAAGCAACAGGTTTGGTAGCGATTATCATACAGATGGGTTTCCACTGGTGCTGGCAGGTCTCTTAGGTATGGGAGGGCGTTGTTTTGGTGCAGAGAAGTTCTTGATGCGTAGAGACTCGGGTCGTGGTGGCGGTACGGGCCTCTCCGGTTTGGACTGGTCTTTTGATGTTGACGATTCTGCAGAATTGTTGGCATTGAACTTGGGCCTAGGCACTGGGGGTCGGCTGACTGGCGGTTTTAGGGCAACACCAGGTTTGATGGGCTCTGATGGCTGGTCTGAAGGTAACGATGGTAGTTTAGGGAGAACAGGCTTAAGCGGTGCACCAGGAGGTCTTTGGGGGACACTTGGGGGTCTGGCGACTGGCACAGCAGGGGGACTGGTTGCAGCTGATGGGGGTTTAGTAGGTGCCTTCCGGACAGGGCTCGGGTGCGTCGCCTCACTTGCAGGTACTGGTGGTGGCGGGTTTGCAGGCTTCTTTTTAGAAGATTCTCTCCTGATGAGGTTGGCATAAGAAGGCGGAGCATCGTCCAGCTTCTGAGGGGGCAGTGGTGGAGGCCTTGCAGGGGTCCGGTTGACGGGTTCTGTCGTGGGCTTGTAGACTATGGAGGGCTCTCTGGAAGCTGATCCCGTGTTCAGGACAATGTCCGGCCTGGGTGTTGGCTTGCGAGCTGGATGACCGTTGGTTACATCAGCACGGTTGGATGCGTTGTCCGGAACGCTTGTGAACCTGTGAGAAAGCAAAGAGACAATTAAGCTTTTCTAGTGTTGTGATTGCTTTGACAGCATGACCAAAGGGCACCAGGGAATCATTTATGCAACATGTACCGGTACATGACATGCATGGACACCAGGGACTAATGTCACTTCAGCTGAGCACACAAAGAATCCACTTAGCAAAGTCAGGTTACCGGCTCAAAAATCATGCTGTATTGCTTGTGACTGGTTCTCTGCTGACTTTTTGTTGACACATTCATCTTCTCAGCAAAGATTAGTCTGCTTTTTAGCCCCACACGCCCGATTATGTTCTTATCCACACTTAAATGTACACACACTCTGCACCAATGCTAATGGAATGGCCTTAACCCACTGCACGTGTCTATAAACCATACCATTGGATCCACACTGCAAGACTTTGCGAATGTAAGAGTCAAACATGCCAGAGTTGTTACCAGGCCCTCATAGGTTCATAACAAGTCATCTGGTTTCAGGTCAAGTAACAATCTATTCAAATGAAATGTGCTTGAGGCATTCCTTTGTCATTATTTATGCCCTTTACATGTGACCTTAGTTGACATATGCTTTGTGATTGACTTACGACTCGACTTGTGATGGACTTGTGATGGACTTAGACTGTATTGACTTTATTCACGAGTCTGGCATATTAATTGAAAATGACGTAAACTTTTCATTTTTGGTACTTGGAGTAGAAATGAAAGCAATGAAATAAAAGTTCATTACAAATTAACACCAGTCTGCTCTGATGAATAATTAAAAAAATTGTGATTAACCATACCCTAATGTTTGAAGCCACATTTATAAAAAGAAGAAGCAAAAGTGACGCTTGGAACGCACTTCGATCATGAAACATGAATGATGAATAAGGGGAATGATGAATAACTAAAAAAATTGTGATTAAACATACCCTAATGTTTGAAGCCACTTTAAAAAAAAGAAACAAAAGTGAGGCTAACTGGCTTGGAACACACTCGGATCATAAAACAGTCCTGCGCCATTCTATTCAACAGTGTACAATTTGTAACACAGATTCAAGGAACACCATCGAGAATGGCTACGTCACGAATAAGGTCTATACTCAAGTACATGCAATAAACAGTAAAGCCTTCCATCGATGCATAGATTCTTTTCCCCTCTTTACATGATACAACTTTGAAAATAAAATGCGCATATAGGAATATCAGGGCTCAATATCATGGGGCTGCGAAGCACAGAAGATATTCGCTTCCTGTCAACAGTAAAACAAATCCTGCAATGTATGCTGTTTGTAGCCTATTCTAAACTGATTCATGCTTAGCGCAAAACTTTGTTGTGCATTATTTTCTGCTTATTAGCAGTTCCATTAAATCAGACATGATGTTCCTATTGCAGTATGCTGTTTGCCGATGAGAGCAGCATGTGTTTCATTACCAATGAAGCATTTCAAATTTACACAATGAAAAGACCCACATGCTCAACTTCCCATGCCCATTTCTCTCTGGTAAATTTTCAAAACTTCAAGATAAGAAAACTTCAAGATAACGAAGGTACCAGTGTGGGCATTTCGAGTTACAGGGCACATACTAGAAATATCCTATTCTCTTGACGGGAATGGAGTATTACTTTGAGATGAACAGAGTTTCAAGTTATACGAATTTGACTGTTAATCCTGTACAAGACCATATGCATGCATTTTTGAAGTGTAGCATTTTTTTACCACCATGCAATACATGGACAGCATTTTTGGGGATTGGAAATTCCAAGATGGCATGGGACATAAAGCAGAACATGCAACCTGCAAGCGTAATATCATTCAAAAATGAAAGTGTTACATGTCGTACTTCATAATAGTGTTAGCGCAACGGCAAGAGTTTGTTTGGAAGGTTGGAAGATGCATGGGGAGGAGCAGAAGAAAGGAGTGTGGGTGAGGGGGACTGGGGGTCGGGAGATTGGGGAGGGGGATCATGGCATGGGGGATGGTTGTGGAAGGGGTGGGAAGGGAGATGGGATTGGGTGGGGGTGGTGGTGTGGGTGGTGGTGTGGGTGATGGTGGGGATGGGGCCGGGTGATAGGGGTTGGGATGGAGGAATTGGAGTAGAGGTGGGGAAGGGGTGGGGGATTGATGGATGGTTGGGGGATTGAAGGATGGTTGGGGGGGGGGGGGTGCCAGCCCAGCATGAAGCAGCCCAGCATGAAACAGATGGATCACATGCCGATCAGCTGCAACTTACCCTTGCCTACTGGGCCGTTTGGCAGTGTATATAGGCCGCTGGTGCACAGGCGGAACACTACTGTATCGAAAGAGAGTTTTGCTTTTTGAAATTGATGGAAAAGATAGAGTTTGTCTGCAAAACTGTCGTTGTGAGGTAGCAACTTCACTGGGCAGTATTTGAGCAATGAAATGCTCAAACGAAGAGAAATCTTTTATTTCTGGTGCTGGAATATAAAAAAGGGACTCTTCCTTGTTAAGGAAATAGAAGAAAGATGGCAGGAAAAATTGGCGAAAAAGCACCTGGGGATTATGGTTCACCGTGTTGAATAAACGACACAATTGACAGGCAGAGAGTACACTTTAAAGCAGCATGGGTGGTAGGTGGACAGTAAATATTAGAATAATGGGGTACTTAATTCTACTGCACTTCATAAAATGCATCAACGCACTTTGCAATTATTATCTCTGTTCATCGGACCATGGCCCCAATTTTCCGCAGCAGCTCAGATCAATGCTCTCTGGTCTCTGCCCTCATTGGTATGGAATTTACTCCTTAGTTGAGAGAGGCAATTGTAGCAAAGTTTTAAGAACAGAAACACATTGAACCAGGTTGGGGCTTGAACACACATGAGTTGGACAATTGTAGTAAAGTGTCTTGCCCAACAATATAAGTGCCATAAAACTCTGATGGGGCTTTAACTCACATGCCACTGTACATGAGGCAGACACCAGAACTATTGGACCATGGCACTTGACAAGAACAAGACGGCTGTATACATACCTTTTCTTGCACAGTATTTGTTGAAGCTGCCTTCGTTTGACATACGCTGCGATTCCGCCAATGACAATCACCGGGACCACGACCAGAAATACCACGAGCAGCGCCACCAGCGTGCTGTTGTGCGCTTCAACCTCTGCAGAGTACAAAATGGCAAAACTACATTCAAGTGTGCCATCACTATATTGTCGAAACATCTGTGTAAATTTTATTGGAAAGAATCAATTTCATGGCGCTGCTTAACAGTTAGCAAAACAGTTGTGCTTATTGTACCAGACAATTGTGCTAACCTTAAGCACAATTTAATGGCAGAGATGTTCTCCAATGGTCGTGGATTTGTGGAGATTTTGTTACGTCACTGATTTAAGCAAGTGTTTTCCTCTTAGATTTTCCTCTTAGCTACTGTGCTTACTGCTTAAAGTTCATGAAACAGAATGGCTCTGTTACCACCAAATCATGTGTTTAGCATTGCCTTGAAATTGAGCCACAAAATAGAACTTGACCAAGAGTTTACCAGGAAGAGGCTTTTTTTTTGCTGTAAATTACGAAAACTAATCAACATTTTAACACTTTGTGGAAAGGTGTTTATATACTTCAGTTGGAAAATTGTGTGTGTGAATAATGACAAGTTATTTATAAGATCTCCAAATACATTTTTGTTTGTGTGGTAACTTGTTAACAATTGTTTGAAAGATATATTTCCCAAAATTCACAGCAACAGAACATGTCCAAAACAAAACCAACAAAAACTCAACAGATGAAAGAATATGAAAGGCTAATTGCTTACACAAGAACTAATTCACAAGTTGAAAACTTTCACTCTCCACAAAAATACATATTATTTGAATAATAAAACAAACAACAGAAAAACTGAATCAAGATGGAATTTAATCAAGAGGAATAAATGGAAGAAAAAGCAACAGTTACTTTTTTGGTTGGCATTTTGCCAGCTATTGTACAAAGAATGTCCCATGACAGACTATCTGAACAATAGCTTGCACAATGCTTTCGCCATTGAAGGGGGCCTAGTGAGTGTACAGTCATAGCATCTTTGGATAATTGGATTAGTCATGATAGACCAATCTGGGCACACTAGCAGGCCCCCTTCAATGGCAAAAGCATTGTGCTAGCTATTGTTCAGATAATCCCTCACGGGGCATTCTTTAAATTTGTACAATAGCGTGCACAATGGTTTCTCCATTGAAGGGGGCCTCGTAAACGTACATTGATCACATACCCAGGTTGTTCTATATGCAGCAGCAACATATATTTCATGTACAGTACTGTAACAAACACAGTAACATACACAATAACAACTACAACCTTGAAGGCTAGAAAACTTGGAGCATAAAAAAATGACACCAAACTATCTCTCTTATCCCAATTGCTAATTCAAACAAACAGACACTACATGTACATGTTACTACAGTCCACCACAGTATAGCAGAAACGCACTGAACCAAGTACGCACACTCTAGTTTTACTTTTACTACCCAGGATGCATACTGTTTCCCTCAATCTTTTGTTCCTTTTGTTGGACTTGCACTTTTTTTAATCACATGAGGTTTGTATATATGAAAACGGACTCGGGCTTTGGTCCTTTGGGATTATTGCTATCCCAGGTAACTCTGTTCTTAAAAGATCTATGCTCTAAGGTGAAAATACAACTGGTCATTCTATAAATTTTGGATCCAAGTGTGACATTTTTCCTGTCCCTGTTACCTAGGTTCTTTTGTAATTTGCCATTCAATTAATAATTAAGAATGACTTTAAAATGTTTCTTTTCATTTGTTGGGTTGGTCATTTGCTATTCATAATCACTCTTGGAGGATGATTGCATTAAGGAGTGCATCAAAATCATACCGAAGATGTCAGATTTATAGAATGACCAAACTCTCAAACTGAGACTGGAATATATATCACTTGAGTCAGAAACTGAAGAGAAAAAAGACAGGCACAATTACGGACTGAACATAACCCCAAGCTCCAGCCCAGACTTGATCAAAAACTCCAGCATGGTTTTTAGACTCCTTTCCGGCATTGGTGTTTCCAAAGATTCTAATGCATTGAAAAATGCATGCTGAATTCTAGGATCATGTCTACGCTGCACATAGGGGCTCAAGTCAAGTCTGGAAATGAGCTTATGGTCTACAGACAAACATTTCTGTATCTGTCTGTTTAGCCTCCAAAATACCATGCAATAATCCAGTTTGATGGTTTGAGCTACAAGCCATCGACAGCATCCAAAATGTTTGCCAAGGTTTCCTCACAAATGCTCCTGTAATTTCCCCAAGATACTTTCTAGACCTGAATCAAATTGTCCGTTCTGATACCCCCAAAAAAGTTCCAAAGTAAATGGGACAAACAATCTGCAAGTTACAGAAATCTCATGGAAAAGTTTCAGCATTTTTAATATCAATTTCTTTTAACTGTTTAATACTTTTTTTTATACTTTAAGACTTCTATTGGGCTTGCATGCAGAGATTTTCATGCAACGATTAACATCCCTCTAGTGCAAGAAACAGATGATTAGGTTTGAAACCAAGTGTCCAAACTGGAACTACGGTAGGATGATGAGTGTGTGTGCATGCTAGGTTTACATGACAATGGGTTATTGTACTTGCTTCCATATGAGGTGATGTGTCTACCCTTCTACAATTGATGGTCGGGTAATCACACTCTATGCATCTACAATGATGAGATGAGTGGTTAAACTAGGATTGGGCAACTCCACTTTTGGAAAAGATGAAGTCACAATTCTGTTCTGTAGAGGTGAATTGCTATTACAACTTTAATAAGATGCATTATCGCTCTTTGAAACGTGATTTTATTGGAACTCCTAAATTTGTTCCAAACATACAGTTTTGACAAAGAATACAGCTATGTAATGCACTGCAGATCCATATAGATTTCATTTCTATCCAGAATAGACAAATCCATTAAGCACTGCCACCCTTGATACCAATCACAGCCATGATTAATGTCTGACTAAAGTATGACATGAGTGCACCTAAAAATGATGTGTGCATCTGTAACGTGTAGTGTGGTGCCTAATGGACCCATCTATTGTCAGACTGTCTCTTCAGAATTGTCAGGACCGAAATCGAATTCAAGAACAAGAACCAGCTACAACTGAACTAATTTTTCAAAAGTAGTGTAGTCACAAGTCCAACATGGAGTTTGAAATCGCTGGTAATCATTTTTGGAGCCGAGTCGCCCAATCCTGTTGCAAAAGTTTTGAAGTGATTATGTTTTGCTCAAAGCCTGTACGTGTGCATATACCTTTGTCGCGGAGGTCGGGGTTCGAATTGTCCGATTTGTCAGAGGTTGTTAGTGGGAGATCGGTGGGAGCTGTGGAGACGAGGGTGGGTGGGAAACAAGAGGGGAGGATTCATATTCATGCCCAATAGATGCACAAGCAGGGTGTTACAGTGGGGGTGAGACAAGCAGAGACAACAGGGGTGGAGGACAGATATGAAATACGGTATATAAACAATATATCGCCACTTGGTTTGATCAGCTTATTGTGTGTACCATGACTTACCATTACCAGGCTGATCACTGGGCCATTTTGCCCCTAAACATTGTCAGCAGGATTTTTCAAGAGGGAGAAATAGAAAAATCAATAGTTTCAACAGGAAAAGAGTTTCATTGTTATCCTTGTTTGCATTGCTAAACTCATAAATTGGCAATGCGGTACAATGAGGGATGGCCCAGATTGTCAAGAGATTTGGGATTTGCAAAAAAAACTCACAATAATTAAACAACTTAAAAACAGACACTTGATGTAACCAAAAAGGGAAAATGTTATCATCAGAAAAAAAACAATTCACACATTCTGGAATTACAGGCCATTTGACACATAAAAGACAAATATATTGTTGATTCCACTTTGTGAGTGATTTGTCATTAAATGGCGTGTAGGCCTTTTTGTGCAAGTCCTTAGAACGACAACATAAACAGGATTTTTTTTATATTTTTAAGAGGTTGGGTGGGTGGGATTGGGGCCTCGAAGGGAGGTTCTGTTAGCCTAAAATGCAAAGAAATCAATTTAAATCATGCTACATCAAAACCTGTGCGATATGTCTTACGGTACAAGCCACATGTCACAGACCAAGCCAAGCATGCGATCACATGCACCATGGGACACCACAGTCATGGCTGCAACCTTGTGGCAGTCATTGCTTCAAATACATTGCCACATTGTTACAGGCATAAACTGTGCTTGTCCGTGGGTACACTCATCCATTCACTCAATATCATGGACAAATCATGCCAAACTATGTCTCAAGGTTGTTTGAAAGCAGCTGTACAAAAGTCGGCCTCTTGAAAAGTTACCCCAACACAGAGCGACCAAGGCTGCACTTTGGTAGAAGCTGGTGATCAAGAAGCCATGTCAGCCGCCTAATTTCAACTCATTTGAAAGTTGTAGTTTATTTGATTATTTAGAAATAAGCATGTACATTTGTATGTGACACGTTTTGCCAAAAAAATCATAACAGTTCAAATGCAAACCCCCTTGTTTGTTTTGTAATGTGATAGTTAAGAAAACCACATAGAAATCAAACTAAATTCATAATTTAAAAAAAGGGCTATAAAAAGGGTACACATTTTCTCAGTATTACTTACAATTAAATCGTACGAAAAAAAATCCTCACTTTAAAATTTTTATTTTTGTGACGTAGTGTTCAAGTATAATTAAGTACAATTTCCTTTACTTGAAGACTCTACCAGTAACTCATATTTGAGCCACCCTCTCCCCCCTTTCCTCAGTTCCGTCTGCTTGTGAGAGATCAACCATGAGTAATGAGGTTGTTTGGACTCACCTCCGCCCTGTGGTCTTGCCGGCCCACTGTCGATACTGCCCCCATAGCCTGTGTTCTTGCATAGCGGAGGGGCCCACTCAGGATCACAATGGCAGTGATTGTTACTGTTACATACCTGCAGTCAGGGAAGGGGGGGGGGAAACGTTTGTGAATTTTTTCTCACCATCATTCAGGAAAATACAGAGTATACAGTGTTTATAAATAAACAAAATTATGTCTGTGAAGAGCAAAACCCATTATTGAATTTGTATCACCCAGGTGTAAATTCCATCTTATGAATACTTTGGTTGCGGTACCCCCTGCTATATCAGATTTGAACCAGCTTAACTCTGGGAAGCTTGGTGGTCGAGTTGTAATAAGTCTGTAGTAGTTAGTAGGAGGTCGTGGGTTCATGTCCCACCAGAGTTGTTTTTAAATTGTTTTTCTCACAATTACTTAGGACAACACTCAGTATAAGGGTTTATACACAAAATATGTCGTGAAGGGCAAAAGCCAGTTCATCGACCGAATGCAAATTCCATCTAATGAATAACTAGAATAACAAAGCTGCCATAAATGTCACTCTGACAGCATATCAGACTGGAGTTCCAAAGTCGTACTGACAGACAGACTGACATGGAAACTACACATGCCCGCATTTACTCTGCTGACAAGCCGTACGTCACAAGAGTTCTGGTATTTCTTCAATATGAGGAAGGTTACAAATGAAAAAGGATATATTCACAACGGGAAGACACAAACATAAACTCCGGGTGGGGAGAAACCAAATCCAAAAATATTTTACTTACCCCGTGATTATGGCAACTGTAGGGGCAGTCTCTGATGTTTAAATCAGATTTATTCACACATTTTGCCTCAACACAAAACTAAGAGAAGAAAAAAACAACAACAATATTTCAGTATTCCATTTAAGAAAAACAATCATTCAAAAATTCCCATTACCCCAAAATGCATTCCATTCACAGATTGTCTTAGAATGCATCGCAAATGTGAAGTGTTCTGTCAAAACCTGACACTTCTCAGCAGAGCCTGAAATGAAGAATGACCAAAAATTATGTAGGGAAATTTTTTTCTTCAATTTTGTGATCCTATATTTACATGTACTACAGCTAAAATAGATGGTTAGAGTTTAAGACCACAATTTTCTCTACATAGCTGATTTTGTTCATGATTTATAGGCATGTACCAGTTCAGGAAATGCATAAAACAAACTTTTAACAGGAAATTTCTGTTTTCATCATTGCGACATCACAAACTTCAAATAGGCATAAGTTTCACCGTGGAAAAATAAAACTGTCATTGCAAAGAGAAAGATATATACAGTGTACTTTAATATTTAAAAACTCCTCTGTGACTGACTGCTCAAAAGAGTCACAAATGACAATAAAAACAACAATTCCAAACCTGGGTTTTAGTGGTGCCACACAGCGAGCCGTCCCCAACGTATCCAGGGTCTGGGATGTCCTGCCCAAGGTCAATGCCGGCTGATTTACAGGAATGTCGCACGCCTTGCGAGTCGTAGCGGTAACCAACGCTGGCTCGCGCCAACGACCCAATGATAGGGAAGTCTGCACCGCCCTCACACATCAACTTGCCGCACTTTAAATTTCTGCGCGTACAAGGCAAGAATGTGTCCGTCTCATCCATTCCACAATTACCATGGTTAGTTCCTTGCTCGTTGAAAACGTAACACAGCTCATGCCCATTTCTGGCCCCTAATTAAAAAAAATGTAAAGGCAAGAGACAGTCAAACAGCAAAATAGATAACACTAATCACAGGATCATAAAATCATTTAACATGAGTATTTCCATTGAGCTTGGATATAAGGCTTCCATTGAGTGACTTTCTTTGATTTAAATTTTTTTTAACAAAACCACATTTCACAGATTTATACAATACAAAAATGTATTCTTGCTACAGATTGATTGCATTTGGCTGCCATCTTGGAGGTGTTTTATGTTAATTCATCCACCATGAATGCACAAGAGGTCTACTCATGCGTGTCCCTATTGAACAAGCACAAACCTCAAATATGGCCTAGGTGCAAACGATCTACACAATATAAACACAAAAAACCATAGCAGTTTGTCATACAAAGTTTTTTAACAAAATTGCTGACTTGCTTTTACATGATTATAAAGTCTGAGATGGAAATGAAGCTGGAGATGGGTTCGGAGTTTCCAAAACACCTTTGTTTCTTACCTTCTCCCCACAATGCCTTGCACTGATCATCGTATGTCACACATTGGCCGTTGTAGCAGATGGCTTCACTATCCATGTTGGCGCAATCCTCGCCGTTCTGCCGATAAACATTGCCCGGACACTGCAACAAAAACAAACAACCAAAATGACAGATTTATTTCTAGTCTTTTAATTCTTCTTCAGTTTTGACACTGCAGAGTTTTGACAGCACTCTTCCAATTTATTGAGTCCTTTCACAAGTTCTGCTCAACCGTCACAAGTATTTGAACATACATCTATAAATTTAGGGTCCACTTTTTTCCTGTCCCTGTTACATCTAACATCTATGATTTTATAGTTCTGATGCACTCCTTAATGCAGACGTCCTCCAAGAGTGATTGACAAATAGCAAACTACCTACCCCCCCCCCAAAAAAAATTGTTTGAAATACATGTAGTTCATATTGATACTAAATTACAAAGTGCAAAGGGAACAGGGACAGAAAAATGTCACAATTTGGAGCCTAAATTTTATAGAATGACGACAGTAGGCTTGCGTAGTTGAAGCTGGACCTGAAAGTTTGACATCTAAACAGCTTAAGGACATTATTCAGACTCAGTGAGTCAGTGATTCAGTCAGTCAGTGACTGGCAAGAGGGCTTGTCTTGCAGAAAACAAAAATCACATTGGGCAATTGACAGGGACGCTTTTGATCAATTTAATTTTGAATCACAGAAATTGAATACAGTGAACTTGAACCTGTGCCCTCCAGAAAACTGTACACATGCTCTCCCAACTGATGTACTTAGCTATTGTTTTGCAATAGCCGCTTGCGCTGAAATGGCAGAATTTAGCTGTTTACTCCCTAGGGAGCTGAGATGGTCTTTGGAATGTTTTTACGGGCCTGTTTGTACAAGTGCTCTCACTGATAGGTTTCTGTATTCTGTGTTACGCATGAGTGGAAACTTTGTACTTTCAAGGCCACTAAATGCGTCACTTTTATTGCCACTGTCATTTTATTGCCACTGTCATTGTCATTTAATGTAATTGAAATGACAAACATGTCCCCGGTGAGGGTGCTATATGCAAAGGGTCTATGATTTTTTGGCAAAAGAGCTAAACTGACGCTACCTCATTATCCAGTCCTGTGCAGTACTCTGGCAGATCACACTGGTTGACTTCGTCGCGGCATTGCACACCAGCCTCCTTCAGCTGACAATCCTCGCAACACTCTCCATTTGCGCAGGTCGCATTCTCGTGCAAGATGCACCTATCTGGCAAGCAGCACTCATTTGTACACTCCTAATAGGTAAATGGATATGGCAAGTTATCCCACGATGACAAGTGGACTCAATGTAGTGCATTTGTCAAGATTTACTAATGTTAAATCACACTGTTTTGTTGATTGGGTTATTGTATCTGCGTATTACATGTACATTCCATCTGAAATAGCCCTTAAAATACAGATGTTGTATGGAGTCTCAAATTCAAGTGCAATTTTCTCCTGTCTTAATAATTTGTAGAATTTGTGACAAATTGTGTAGCAAATATTACGCCCACAGATGAATCGGGCATATCATTAAAAAAAACCCGGAAAATAGGTCGAACAAAAAAATGAGTCCGAAATCTGGGCCACACTACAGTTACACATGTACATGTACACATACAGTACAATATACTTACTGGCCAGTTTCCTGGTTTTAAGAAATGTGTCAAATCGTCTCCAAGAAATCAGTCTACAAACTCATAAAGGCTCATTGTACGGTGAAGATTCTCCCTCCCCCTATTCCTTTTCAATGTTTAGTGTCTAACAGTCCTAGTCTTACCTCCACTGTGCCACAGTCACATTCTTCCCCTTTCTCCAGGAAGCCATTCCCACAGTGCGGTCCTTGGAAGATAGCCTTGGGGTAGTTGAAGAGACAGGCCCCTAGACCCTTGAGTAGAGATGCCGCCAGGTCGGCCCGGGAACAGGAGGAGAAGATGGTGGGTGGGATAGCACTGATGAGAGGGCAAGAAAAAACAGAGAGCCATGGATGTGTTAATAGGTGGAGGCAAAGATCCATTTGATGACAGGGAATGTGTTCCTCACAGCGTCTTTGGTCCCCACAATAAGTATCGTTCATCATGTGCGTGGTCCTCACAATCCCCAAAAGTATGTGTGTGCTTTGCGGGTAATTTTGGAACCTGATATCAGGTTGCTGTAACAGTCAGGTTGCTTACAACTGTACATAATATTAAAAACATAACAAACCCTGAAGTAACTTTGTTTCTTGCCTGCACGAGCTGCCTAACACAGGCCTCACAATGCCACTCTACATCAATATAGGTTTCTTTAAAAGGTTTTTAAGGGTTTTCAAAGTGCCAAAATATAGGCATTTATATGTCTTCATGGTGCAAGTCCATGCAATTTTTCTGCATGAGGCACTGTAGCAGAAATAAAGCAACTTGCTTACAAAGTGCCTCAAGTTCTCTACACAATAATGCAATCTGCCCATTAAATTCTGAAACACATATAAATAATCTTAGCGATGAATATCGACAATGTGGTTATTCTTATTTCGGACAGCTTTGCAGAACATGTGGAGAACATGAACACACACATGCCACTATATTATCTTCCATTCATAGCCTGAAATCCTGCTATTTGCAGAAAGACTTCTTTCCTTTGCTTTGGTTTTATATACAAAGGCAAATTTTAACACAAAAAGGGGCAACTTCCTAGTTGCACATGAAAAAGAAAGTTCATATGCATTGCACAGAAATGTGCTTACATTACAATGTGATCATCATAATGTGATGATTATGTAGCCTTGGCGTTTCCTGCTCTAACCACTAACAAAGTAATGCACATCCTATTTCCTATTAATCGATTGGCCATCAGGGGAAGCAGGACGTGAAATCCTCACTTCCACTCTCTAACTTTCCTTGAACTCTTCTAATATTTCAACACCGACAGTTCTAACCATTGTGACAGCCACACCCTTTTGGTAATAATTACAAAAATTTCATCTTTGGACACTCAAATTTTAGGGGAAAACATACATTTTCAAGGCAATGCACCCTCAAACCCAGGTCCAACAGGGAGATTTTAGGAAGCCCTATCACACTAGTGAGAATCCAACATGGCTTCCAATCAAGTGTAGCACTCTACATAGGTAAAATCCAACCCTGGTTTGGACCAGGGTTGACAGGGTCTACCTCGGTACAAAATCAAAATGTACAGCCAACCAGTGTATACACTGGTGTAAGTGTGAACGGTATGTCTTGCCTACCCGTGTTTGATTGGACTCAGTGCTGATTACGATAGGCGAGATAACAGCGTCAAAAGGCCTGGAGTGTTAAAGGAGTGTCACATGTTACTCACCCGCTGGAGGGTTCCATGACACACCCAGTGCTTTCTGGGGCATCACATTGGCAGTTTCTATCTTCAGTGTCGTGTGAGAAACCCATGTTATGGCCCATCTCGTGTGCCATAGTGGAAGCTACGTCTGCCGCATTTATCCCATGATCCTTTATAAGATAACAAAGAACATTGTTATACCATGGTATTACTTGGGGAAATTTGACAAAATGGGGAACCGCCAGACGGTATTCCAGAGGTCACAGGTTCAAACTCTACTCCTGTCAATTTATTTTTTCAACTTTAGAAAAAGGGTTTTTATAAAGCACCTAGTCAATTTGTATACCCTAGGGGGTAAATGACACCCTTGGTTTTTGGTTTTGCCTACGCTGCCATGTGCATATTAAACAAACAAGGACTACATCCCAGTGGACAACAAGACTCACATAGTGGGACCTGGTCACACCCTCATTGGTATTTGAAAGTTAATGCCCTGCTAACCTCATTCACCCCACCGGAACGATCCGGTGAACACATGACGGACAACGATGCCATGCCAACGGTGCTACCATCAAACGACTTGCCACTGTGAATTTTAAAAACACGGTGCCAGTACATCAATTTCAATTTGTTAATCTTACTGCAAAGTAATGACGAATTTATGAACAAGAACATGAAATTGGACCCCGGTATCTTAGTAAATTTTGCATTGGCAGCACTCAGAAGCAACTCTTCAAGATCCATGATAGTTGCAAAGGATTCCTGGTGAAACTGCCTCCTTAGTTCAATGGCAATCAAATCAAGTGCTTCTAAGTATTCTTATCTGTGTAGGTCTGTGGTTTTGGTGTATGGTTTGTGATCATCGTCTATTCTTCAATATGAAGAATAGACTGCCACCCCTGTTCCACCACCCATGATTTGAGGTTGTGATGCCTGTAGTTCTAAAGATTTCATAATTTTTCCACTTTTTAGCCATGTCAACTCTCGCATGGAATTGCCCAAAGGCATTCCTTTGTAAGTGTTTATCCCTATCACTTGTGAATGTTGTGATGGATTCCATTATAACACAAGTGACTGACTGGTGTTGCCTTGTCGGAACTACATCACAACTCAACATACCTGTATTTCCCTCTAACACTGGTTTCAATCTTTCACATTAAATTGCAAAATGAGATCTAATTCTTACGTGACAAACTGGGCGTTGTCGTTGTACACTGTTGGCAGGAGAGTTTCTTTCCGCCAGCGATGGAAGGACTGCATGGTGACTGTAGGGTTGGTACTCACATCAAACTGGTCCCCTTCATCCCATACCTCTACCCCTATTAGGGCTACGCGCATGTTCAACTGACGATAAATCTAGGAATTTGTTTCAAATTCAACAAAACTTTTTAAGTACCTTTAAAATGTTTAAAAGGTTTTGATTTTTAATAAGGATGTAACGTTTACATGTGAAGACATTTAACAAACAATTAGCCAAACATTTTAAAATGGGACAAAGTATTTAGGGGATCCGCCTTCCAGATTTATTTTACAAAGAATCAAGGATGCCTGTAAATGGAAATAAAAGGTTTGCTTAACATTTATCAAACTGAGCATAGATTCTGAACTTACCTTTTAGCATACATGAGGTGTTAATTATTCAATATGAGCAGTATTAAATTACAGTATGAAAATACATTGTTCTGTAAATTTTCAAATCCAAAAAACTGATTTTTGATTTTCATTAAACTTAAGTTACTAACACCACATTAGGCTTTGACATTCTATTTTAATTTACTCACCATATCCATTGCATTGGCCATCTCCTTGCATCTTGTAAAGACTTGCTCTTTGTCACTGTTTCGCTCTATGAACTGTGCACAATATGTGATAAAATAACATACAAAAGTGACAGGAACATATCATTCTACAAGGAATATATGGTTCTGTGCATCATGGCAAATAACAGTAAACTGCCCCTCAATATGTTTGGCAGTCTTGTATTTTTTTTTACTTACAAAAAAAATTCACAAGCAACCCCTCATTAAAAAAAGGATTTCCAACAAACAATAATTTAATGCCGTATTAACCTCTCGATGTTTTTTTTTTCAGACGTGTATCAAGTTAAGAAATGCAAAAATACAATTTTGAAGATGTATCTTTACACTTTCCACAAAAAGTCTGATACAGTATCTGCTGAGCTGAAATCTTAACAGGTTATATTTTTAGAACCTGTTTCAGATTTATTGTATTGTTGTTCCCTTGAATCAGCAAAATACATTTTCTTTTTGCACATGGGCCATTCTATAAATTTAGGGTCCAAAGTGTGACATTTTTTTTTCCTGTCCACCTCTGAACTTTGTAATTTACCATTCAAGTATCAAATGAATTCAAACTATTTTTCTAGTAGTAACTACAGTAGGTAGTTACTCTTTGAGGATGACCTACATGTACCGGTAGGAGTGCATCAATAATTATAACATTGTAAATGCCAGATATAACAGGGTCAGGAAAAAAGTGGATCCAAATTTATAGCATGATCCATACTGAGTGCATTCCCTTAACCCCCCCCCTCATTTTTATGTAAAAATTTGAACAGCTGCCCAAAAAGGAGTCTGGTTTTGATAGAACATATAAAAAATATGACCAAGGCAAAAAGGTCAAATAGTCTACCCACTGACTGATAAACGGGAAGGCTAAAAGGGCCAGACAATTGATGTCTTATGGCAATCAAGCATGACAACTAGGGCTAGACAATTGTTCCATATCCTGTCTCTACATATCAAAAAGTCAAGGCCATGCTTGTGATCACTGATGGGGACCAAATAATCTTGAAGAGATAAGAATCAAAGTTAGATCACATTGAGAAAAGTAATCGCAGTGAGTCCGTTACATGACTTTTACATTGAAACATACTGACATTCCATTTTGGTTTAACTTTTGTAAGTTATTTTTTTCCAACTGACAACTGATGACCCTGTTGCTAGTATGTCACTTAAGGTGCACACTTGAAATTTAAGAGGTTTTCTGTACAAATTATAAATCCCATAATGAACCGTAGCTCATTGCAAACAATTGTGCGTAATGTTGGTTCAATAGCTGTCATGTACTGAATCAACAATGAAACTTTAACAACAGGAAAAACAACAGGAACCCCCCAACATTTCGGTGACTGTTGATGCTGTAGCAGCTGTAACACTTAAGCTTCTGCCATCTAACATCTCAGATTCTCTCAAGAATAAAGACATTTGTAGAAAACCCCAAAGGCCCCGAAAAACCTTTTACCTTTCAAGACAAGTATTAAAACAAAGTAAAATTGTGCACAAACATGTATTTTATGAATTGAATTAAAATAAATATTGTTTCATGGGTGCTTTGAAGAATACAACTTTTGCAGATGAGTTACATGTACTTAGCAACTGTTTGACCATTGCTCCATTCACTTCCTTGTGATAAAATAAGCATGGAATTTTGATTGGCTACAGACTATCAGTCATGTGACCAGTTTGCAAAGAAAAAAAAATTAACTGCTACCATGTTGCAATGGCAGGTATTTTGCATTGTGGAATGTTTTCCTCATTAAGCATTCCTAATTAATTATGTTGCCTGCAAATAATAAGGTTGCTTGCAAATAAGAAGGTTGCTTATCAACTCCAGAGCAAAATTTTATGAAGCTGCAAAACAGCAGAAAATATTGCTTAGCCGATTTATGAGCTGAGCAAAAGGCAGCCAACAACCAGCGACAAACAGTACAAATTGAATGACATTTTGGCTGGTGACCCTTCTACACTTAGCAAAGTATTTTTGTGTTTAGCAGTCCCCTTAAAATTAGCCCCAGAAGAGTGGATTTTAATGACTCAGTGCATACCTCTGTGTTATCAGCTACGATGAACAGCTCCACATATTTGGTTTCTTCAAAGACATCTCGTCTCGTTCGTATCCGTTGGTGCATGGAATCCTCATGGTAGTTTGCTCCTTGCTCTTCATACAGACCAGTATCGTAAACTTGCAAAAAAAAGAGTAAAAGAAAATAGAATTCAACTTTTGAAATGGAATTCAGCTTGTTGGAAACTCTGTGAAGATAAACTGAGACAAACATCCATCATTTATCATCCTGAACATTTATTTCAATGTTGTCGTTCATTACAGTATATGTATGTATATGGTAAGTTACACAAGGATCAGTGCTACCAGTTTTGTATTTACATGTAGTTCAGCATTTTTATGAAATAAACATGACCATGTACTCATATTTTATTTGTATACCATGTACATGTACCATAAATCACGTTTTTCATTCATATCCACACGCAACGTATATCAGCTGTATCAATCAAGCCATGCACCTTTAAAGTGTTTTCGGTGTTAGTGTATCATCGACCCATTGAGGTAGACTACTTGTAGATGAAATCAATTGATTTTTGTTAATCACTAATTCAATACTTTTTTTTCAATGGCATTTATCAATTTATTGAGATTTGTGGATGATAGGTACTATAGGAGCCTGTAAACTCTTACTAGTAAGTGATGGGTAAAAAGGGTGCATGGGGAGATTTAGACACATTTTTAGACATATCATTATTTTGAAAGTTAAAAAATAAAATAAAACAAATCTGATTTAAATAACATTTAAATATATATATATATATATATATATATATATATATATATATATTTTAAAAGAATAAGAAAAGTCACCAACCCTTGTGGGAACATGCTGACAATAGCCATAATGGTAGCTGTAGCTCTGAAATCCCTATTTGGACACGCCTTACTTGTACGTTGTACATGTTTGTAATGCTTGCATACATGTAGTGGGGCAAAAGTTCAAGGATGCTATTCAATGATGATTTGACCATCTGGTGCAAAAATGTCTGCATTAATGGATATCCCTACATAAATGAAGTGGCTAACACATTAAACCACAAGAGCATGAGTCACGCATTCTTTTTGGAAATGACATTTTGGGGTAATAAAAAGTCTGATTGTTAAAATAAGGATTTTTTTTCCATAAAAGCCTGACTAAGACACTTTTTTCACTTGGTCATGTGATTGCTAACGAAGATGTTGTGTTACAACAAATTAAGTCATACATTTAAGGGTTGAGTGTAATTTCCAATGGTCATGTGATTCCACATTGTAACATGATTTTTAAATAATCGTGTGATTTGTGATTTGATACGGTGATGTGATCTCAAATGGTCATGTGATTCCAGATGGTCATAAGATTTCAAAGGGTCATGTGATTTCAAAAGATTTTCTCTATTTTGTTCATTATTCCGACGACATAAATCCAGCTCTTGAAAATCCCACATACTGTACAAGTGTGCACATGTACGTTATACTGTACCTTCATATCAGAAGTGCTGTATCTATTGTGTGCATGACTCTCCACACGTGTTCCTAATTTTCCAGCCCAAGTGATGGAACATTGAATATTTGATAGGGATATTGGATGACATTTCTTACCCCATCTCTGTTTTTTCCGCCTGACATTGTCGGGTGTATAGACAAGATGCTTGCTCTGTGAGTCGCTCAGCGGTTCCACGTAATGGCTTTTGCCATCGATGATGATGAGACCGCTGAAATTGGAGAACAAAACAGTCTCACGATCAATGGTGAATCATGAGATGGGGCCTTCAAAGGGTGTAACACTCTGTCTCGGACTGAATTTTCAAAGTTATACCATACCAAACTATTCCGAGACATATTAACTTAAAAGCATGAAACGATTAGGAGTGACTACACACAAGAGATAAACTTTTGCAGTCATTCAGAATAACTCAAGAATCTAGTGTAAATGGAAAATTAATACATAAAGTTAGCCTGTATGAAACATTGAAAGCATGTATTTGGGTTGACTTAAGTTGCCTAGCTATTTGATGGGGTGTAATTCTAGAATACCAGTCTGCCACAGATGTAACACTCATTCAGCTAGATAGCTACATGTATATAACTAATAAACTTAAGCCTTTCCCTTAAACTAGGCAGCCAACAGAAATACATTGACCTTGCTTTTTAATGTGCTCATTTGCATTTTTGTGAATCAAATTAATATTGACACTTCTGTGAGTGCAAACCAGAGTTTATGAGATTTACATGTAGCTTGCATTTACGATGTACAGGAACTGGTACATGTACATTTGCATTATGCAAGTGGTGGAGTTGAAATTGATTTTCTTGCTTTGGAATGTGGGTGGGCGGAGTGAAAGGGTTGAGTGAGAGGTGGGTTGACTCTTTACGTACCGGCAGCATGCATAACTAATCTGTGCACTACACGCTGTAGTTTCCAGAATCTCGCCCTTATATGTTAATCAATGTTTACAACTGTTACCCTTTAACCTTTAGCCCCACCGTGAATAGTTTAACCTTGCCCGCACTTCATTTGCATAGAAAGCATGGTCGCGCACAGTATTATGGGGCGATTTTACGACCTCATGTTTCTAGCGTTTTCTCCGTGGAGCTGATACCTATCTTTTACCGTACTCGTACAACTGAATTCCGTCCAAACTTGAAGGAGTTTCAAGCTGAAAAGGATTCTAAAGATACCACCAGAGTTTTCTCATGCTTGTGAACATTTCAGTGCGATCCAGGTCGCTGTGATAACTGTGTGATTATAAGAGGTTTCCGATCCGAACTTCGTGAACTTTTGTGCATGTTGTGAACGACTCTGTGAGTAACGATCCCTTTGTACTCCAATATTTGGTGGAATAAAGTGAACAGATTTCATTGATTATAGAACTATAGAAGTACGCGTAAAGAATATCAGTTTTCTTTGACTTAGTGTCCACGGTCGCTACATTCAGTAAAAGATAGCAGCATACAGATAAATGAATATTTTGTAACTGTAACGATGAAATCGGGAAAGATCCCCTGCCGCTCCGCTCTGTCCGGAAATTGGGCCACGTTTATAAACGAACGCTAAACGACTCCCTGTGACTCGCGCTTGTCCGGAAACTGGGCAAGGACGATTAAATACTGTAAACGGTCGCCGTTCTTCAGCGTGTAGCAAACCAACCCCTCTGCCTAAATATGTCAACCCAAAATGAAGAAAAATCACAAGATAAAGCTGATTCTTCCAGCTCAGCTTCAATGCCAGAGCTCACACCACATGATACTGGGGCCGGATCAAATCCTCCCGTCTCGTCAAAATTACAAATGGAAATGACATGTGACCCAGAACTTGGAGAAGAAATTCATCCAGAAGACAGCATCTCTGTGGCACTCTTCGGAGATAAATCTAAGACATTGACTCGCAAAAGTGTTTCTGGACGATCTGACATCAGTAACGCCTCATCAGCAAAGACAACAATTTCCATACTGCTACACAAGCATCAGCAGAGAGAAGTCGAGCTTGCGGCCAGATCTGCTGCTCTTAAGGAACAAAACAAGCTCGAAGAGCGTAAACGCGCTCTTCAGCGAGAGCTCCAACTGCAAGAAGCAGAAGAAGAAATAAGATGCCTAAGACGGCGACAGCAAATCCAAGAAGAGCAAGCCAAGATTGAAAGTGAGCAGCAAGTTATCGAAATAAATGCTGAGCTGCAGGCAGCAAAAGCTATCACTAAGATGCTTAATGACGAAGAATTATCCAACGTATGTTCCCAAGGTTCCCAAAACTTTGTGGATGAAGTTGTACATGCCATTGAATCCGATGCCTCGAGACGTAATCCTGCAGTGATAAACCAGCTGAATCACGAAGCACCGGTTTTCTCCATCAAATCTATGGCCGAACCTGCCCGACCCGTGATGGCCCCGGCACCAGACTATGGTGAGAACTCAAAGGGGAAACCCTCTGCCACACAGCAATCCTGTGAACCTGTGGATCCAATGCCATTTAAGGATGAGGGCAGTCTTCATAAAGATAAAACCCTGATGAAAGAGCCAGTGACAAAAGAAAGTGACAAGAAAGAGTGTCAAATTCCAGAGGCACCGATGGCATTGCTTCTCAGCAAAATTGTGGACAGCCAAAGGGAAGCTGCACTTCCATCTTCGGAAATAGATCCCTTCAGCGGAGCAGATGTCCTCTCCTACATGACATTCATGAAGAACTTTGGTTATGTGGTGGAGGGCAAAACCAACGACCCAGCAAGAAGGCTCGAACTCCTCCTAAAGTATACAAAGGGGGAAGCCCATGAGCTTATTAAAGAGTGTCCTATGATTGAAACCCCATCACAAGCCTACGAACGGGCAAAACAGCTACTCAAACGTGACTATGGGCAACCACCAATATTGGCGGCGGCTTACAAGAATAAAGCTGAGCAATGGGGAAAGATTGCAACAGGAGACAAGACAGGCTTGCGGAAATTCTCCATCTTTCTCATCAACTGTTGCAGCGGGAAGCAGAGCAACCGTGACATGGCCAGCATGGACGGCTTCGAATTCTTGAAGCTGTTGGCCGGAAAACTGCCTGTTGCCCTCCAACAGCAGTGGATCAGACAAGTAGGCAAATTCAGAGAAATTGAAGAGCGCTCGCCTACATTAGAAGATTTTGAGAGATTCGTGGGACAAATTTCCAGAAACGAAAATGACCCACGAATTGCTGGCCTTGGTTACCAACGCAGAAATGAGGAAGAGAAAAAACAACTCTACAAATCAACCCGGCATGAAAGTAGAGGAGTTACTCAGAGGAAAGCCTTTGCAGCCACAGTGAAGGAAAGAAGAGACGCGCCCAAACATACTTCAAAGGACAACAAAGCAGCCAAAGCACCATGCCTATACTGTGGGGATGGCACAAATCACTGTGTGCTGGACTGCAGAAAGTTTGCATCACTGGACGCAAAGGCGAAATCCGAATTTTGCCACAAAAGGGGCATGTGTTTCGGGTGCCTAAACCCGGGGCATATGAAAAAGACATGCCCAAACCCAGACTGGGCAAAGTGCAGCCTGTGTTCAAGGCGGCATGTCACTTGCATGCATGACCCGGATCGACAACCAGCCACACCAAAGAATGAACAGAAAGAACCAGAAACTGCAAAGGTGACCACAGGCTGTGTGAGTGTAGAAGCAAAGGCATGTGGAGCGACAAACACGGATAAGACCAACCCACTGATGGCAATCGTTCCAGTGACGATCAAAGCAAAATCCAGCTCTGAGTGCATTACCACATATGCATTCATAGACAATGGATGTGGAGCTGTCTTTTCCACCAAAGAGCTAAACCGACAATTGAAGACAAAGTCCAGAAAAACCAAGCTGATCATCAAAACAATGAACTCAGAAGAACTAATCAACACTGAAGTCATTCTGGACGAACTGCAGCTCAGCAGCATCAACGGTGACACCTTCATTGATCTCCCAGCAGTCTTCATGAAGGACAGTATGCCAGTTACAATGAAAGAAGCCCCAACCCAGCGAGACTTGAATGAGTGGAGCCACCTGAAGCAAATCAAGCTCCCAGACCAAAGAAACATTGACATTCCCAAAGTCAGCCTGATGATTGGAGTCAATGTTCCGGCTGCGTCACTACCTTTAGAGACAGCAGCTGGCCACCTTGGCGATCCTTACGCCATCAGAAGCCCCCTGGGCTGGCTAGTGTATGGACTGCCTGGAAAGTTGAGAGATCAGCCAGAGGTCAGCGTCAACTTTTGCAAAGTTGATAATGGAGTCGTGCATGATAGCAGAGACCACCTCAACACACAGTTGAAGAGATACATCAACATGGATTTCAACGAGCGCCTGAATGATGACAAGCAAGCTATGTCTGTCGAAGATAGACAATTCATCACTATCATGGATGAGTCTGTCGTCAAAACCAATGGTCACTATCAGATGAAGTTACCGTTCCGTGACCGTAAGGTCTGCATGCCAAACAACCGATCCCAGGCTGGCATGTTTGCTGCAAGACTGAGCAAGAAACTCAGTAAGGATGACAGTTTGAAGACACAATACACTGATTTCATGACAGATCTAGAAAGAAAGGGCTTTGCAGAGAGGGTACCACTACCAGAAATAAAGCGAGATGATGGCAGAGTATGGTATATCCCACACCACGGCGTATATCATCCAAGAAAGCCCGACAAGCTGAGGGTGGTATTTAACTACCCGGTAGACTTCAAGGGAACATCGCTAAACAGCCAACTACTACAAGGCCCAGACATGACCAACCACATGTATGGGGTTCTTCTTCGATGGAGACAAGAAAATGTGGCTATCATGGCAGACATCGAAGCGATGTTTTACCAGGTGAGGGTGACACCAGGAGACTGTGATATGCTACGCTTCTTGTGGTGGCCGGAAGGTGACCTGCAGAGGGAACCAGAGGTGTACCGAATGTTGGTGCATTTGTTTGGTGCAGTATCTTCACCGAGCTGTGCCAACTATGCCCTCAAGAAGACAGCCACTGACAATGAACACAAATATAGAAGAGAAGTAATACAAGCCATACATAATGACTTCTATGTAGATGACTTCGTAAAGTCTGTGGCAACTGAAGATGAAGGCATAAGCCTTGCAAAAGACATGAAAAGAGCAGTAGCAGAAGGGGGCTTCAAGCTCACAAAGTGGACCAGCAACAGCAGAAAACTGCTTACAACCATACCCAAAGAAGATCTGGCCAAAGAGGTGAGGAACCTTGATCTCCAAA